TAAGATATCCCAGAAGTCAACAGCAGATTGAAGCAGGTGGTCCTTCAGTTTGACAGTTAGGAAGTTCCTGGTGGTCACTGAGAGAACAACTGGTGTAGGCTGTTGTATTTGTAACTCCGATTGCAAAGAGTGATGTTAATGAAGAATAGACATTAAGAAATTAAATATAGTCTATTTAGACTATCCCTGAAATAATTTTAGTAGTAAAGGAAAAGACAAAAAGAAGGTGGTAGCCTGAGGTCCAAAGCAAACTTCTCTTTCCTCCATTTGAGAGTTTTGATCTCTGATTCTCTGAGTGAAATAATTCAATTTGTAATTTTACTTGACCTACTCACACATTGACTGACAAAGTACACTCGAAAGGGCCAGGAAAATAGATGGGGTCATTAGCCTTGGCTCTAATGAGAAATTATAGTATTTTTCCTGTAATGATAAGTTGGCATGTGAGTACTTAGCATATGAAAAAGCCCTCAGATAGTCAGCAGCTTCCACTGTTCATTATCTTATGTTTTGGGGTTATTTTCTTGGCAGAAAATATCATTTGGCTGTGAATCTATCATCATTAAGAAAGGAATAAAGATTTTTAACAGAATACATATTCTCCTTGTGGAAAAATTATAATTACTCCATTTTAACTTTCCATGTCCTGGCTCTAATTTCCTCTACACTCTTCTGTTCCTCTACAATAGAGGCTTTTTCTGCTGGTCAGTCTACACAGTTAAGCTCACAAGCAACTTTCTGCTTTATACAGATATAGAGCATTTAATTGAAAAAGGTATTCTGTGTCACCTGCCAACACTTTAGAAGGCCTGCGGTGGCTGAAACAGTTCGGCTGGCGAATTTCATAGTATGCTTTGTTTCTCAGCAGCATGTGTCCAAGTATCATTTAGAGAGCACTTGTATTCTCGCACAGAGACATACCTGAGCATCACTGCACACATCCAGTTCGTAGCGCTAGAACAATCACCCATTCGTGAGTTAAAAAAAAAGAAAACTATTTCTACTTCTACTTCTCAAAGCCAATTGGACACTGTTGTTGCATTGATCAGACCAGAAAGCTCTCCCTCTGGGTTTCAGGGTTCAGAAGACTTTTTTCTGTAAAGGGCCACATAGTAAATACTTCAGGCTTTGCAGGCTACATAGTCTCTTTTGCAACAACTCACCTCTACTGTTGTAGTGCAAAAGGAGCTATAGACAATGACTAATTGTGTGATTTTATTCCAATAAAACTTTATTTGCAAAACAGGTAGCAAGCTAGATTTGCCCCCTGGCTGTAGTTTGCCAATCACCGCTCTAGAAAAAGACCTCGAGTGGGATGTGTCATTTAGCCATCCATAGAGACTCAAGATGGAGAACCCATATACATCATTGAAAAGATCCTAGTTTCTCAGTTGATGCCAGGTCAGTTCTAGGATTTGAATCACAGACATTTGCATTCCATCTCAAGAATTCCTCCATGCCACATTTAACTCTCACCACCTGTGTTTTTCCTGCACCATGGCACATGACCTTCTCATTTCTCTGTCCTCCTCATAGCCCATGTTACTTAACAAACCTACTTAGGCTCATCCTATTGGCTTCTGACTTTTATCTCTCTAGGTTAGGACTGCTAGAATTTGCTCTTTGCTCCAAATACCATGACCATAGGAAAAACGTATTTAATTTTAGGGCCTCAAAGAACCAACTAGAAAAAGAAGTGTATACACTAAAATGGTGTATTTTCTTGCCCAGTCACCATATATTTTTTTCTTCTATTTATCTTCTCAGATACTGAAGGTGAAACTCCTGTACCACACTCCCAAAGTGTCTTCAACAGAGGTCTACGGCACACCACTCTGTTTTCCTTCTTAGCCTGAAATTTCAATCGTTAAAGTCTCAACACAGCACAGGAGAAAAAAAACAGACTATGCACCAGGTACCTGTACTCTGGTTCTGACTTACCCTGGTCTTGGGTAAGTTACTAGCATGCATGTTAAAGCACGTTACCTTGGAGCAGTGGTCTCCCCGCTGTACTTCAAAGAAGCTTTAGACCTGTTCAGATAATCATTTCCCACTACATGGTGAAAATATAAGTTGTTTGAGGAATATTTATTTTTGCTCTCTTGGACTATACTACTAAGAGTGTTAATGTGTATAGTTTTTCTGAAGAGTACCTGGGAGCTTCTAGGAATTTTCTCCCAGATTCACAATGAAAAGTACCTTGTGCTTATAGTTGCAGAGAGTCAAAGTCAACAAAAGTAGGCACTAAGAGAGTGGATAAGTAAAATGTGGTTGATACAATGAATGTCTATGCTCCAGTGGATTTATCTTGAATGAGGCTCCTAAGTATAATGTTGAATGAAAAAAGTAAGAAATCAAATAAAACTTTTAGCTAAGTACCATTTCTATAAAATACAAAAATATACATGGAAAATAAGACTTTGTGTTTTTGAAGGATACACATATATCTAAATAATCCTATATAAGAACCACCACCAAATACATTAACACAGGTAACTAATCTGGGAAAAGAAACAAGATCATGGGGGGAAATCATGAAATAAGTAAAAGATCTTGCACAGACCAATGATGGTAAGGTTCTATAAACTGTGGAATGTGATCTCTTCAGTACATTTAAATCTTTAAAAAATATGTGCTGTCACTTACAAAATTATATATGTATGTATGTTCTTGTGCATGAATGTACTTACATAGAGAGACAACACACATACATATATATATGACTGGGAGTATTTACTCCAAATATTGGAGTGACTTTTGTCTGGTTATTAAAAATGATTTTAATCTTCCTCTTCACACTTTTCCTTATTTTCTAAATCTTCCTCAATAAATATTCTATAATCAGAAAAAAATAAGAATCAATACATCTTTTGGGGCATTTGGGTGGCTCAGTCGGTTAAGTGTCCGACTCTTGACTTTGGCTCAGATCATGATCTCAGGGCCTACATTGGGCATAGAACCTGCTTAAGATTCTCTCTCTCTCCCCCTCTGCCCCCCAACCCCTCTCTTTCTCCTTCTCTTTCTCTCAAAAAAAAAAAAAGAAAGAAAGAATCAATACATATTTTAATTAACGGGATGCATTCCTAAAGGGGAAGGCAATTTTAAGCAATTTATTCTATATGGTTTTTTAAAAATGGAGTCAGAGATTTCTTTTCTTTTCAAGAGCAATACCTATTACAATGGGAAAATCATTGAAAATTCAGGACCCTGTGTAATATCTCACTCAGAGTTTCAGGGTTACTGCTGATTGAAGTAATCATTTGCAAAATTCAGAGTTTCCACAGAGTGTTTATTTTGACAACACTCTAGGTATTGTTAGATCTCTGGGGTAGGGCTGTGTGTTAGTTAGCAATAGGAAGGAGAAAGCTTGTTTGGATTACCATGTAAACCGTTTTCATTGTGAGGAGGGACCTATTGTTTTTTCACCCACTTGCAGCAAAGACTCTGTTTAAAGGTGACTGATATAATGATTTCATTCATAATCTTAATATTTCAAAGTTGTGGATCATGTTTCCAACAAACTTACCCTTTCGTGCATGAAAATACATAACTCAGATTATAGCCATTTATTTGCCTTTCTTTTAAAATAAGAAATAACTATTTTGCTTAAATCTCAAAAGAACTAAAGGTTCGTGTTTCTTAAAGAACTATCCTTCCAGGGAACTACCTTGTTGAGATCAAGTTTTTCTGAGTTAAACTAGAGTTAAAAAGTAAAGCAAACATACCCTTTAACCAAAAGATGAGTCATGTGCCTGGATGCCCCAGCCTGTCCTAGCAAAGGTAAATATCATTTCTTGAGACTCTGGGGCATGCGTAGAAGAAAAAAATATGAAATAAAGAGACTGAAAAAATGTACAAGGAGATGGAAAGGAAGAACCTGCAGCTGGAGGCAAACGAGAGCACCCTCTGAACTGTCGGGTAAGCTACTCCGAACTGCCTTACAGACGGATGGTTCCTGTGAGGCAAGTATATCAGAAGGTGACAGATCAGCATGAGGTGGACTTCCCTCTACACTAGAATTCTCTAAATTCTCACAAAGCCATCTTCAGTGGTTCGGTGGGATTACTGATTTTTAGAGTCCAAGAGAGCTACACAATCGCTTCTCTTCCATGATGGCACCCCGGCCGAAGATTCTTCCTATTTTGTTCCATGTTTCTATGAAAATTGTACGGTAATGGGTAAAATGCCCACATGTCATTGTAGATATTTCCAAAAAGCCTAGAGATGTTAAAAATTAATAAATAAGGAAACATTTGCTATTATAGCAGGGTCATGGTAATAACAAAATTAGAGAAATAACTATTTGATCAAAAATTATCCTTTTAACATAAAATGATTTTTCCTCATAACAATCAAATGTTATAAAAGGAGACAATACCAATTAGTTCTTTTATTAGCATCTCCTCAAATAAGAAGCTTTGACATTACCATCTTAATTTATAGCATTTTCCAAATCACCTCAGAATAGGTGGAGAAGAATAGCCAGAGAAGAAATCAGAATAATTTTATAAGGGTTCTGTTCTTGAGGTTTTTGCTGTTAGCTGGAATAAAGTCCATCTATGCTTTTCAAGCTCTTGGAAGTGGAAACAGATACTGTTTGCTGAAAACTGAGAACTGGTAATCTCTTGTAATTCAACTTCCCCTAATCATCTACATGCTGATTCAGCAAAATACTTTAAGAATTTGTTTTTTCTACAATTGAAGGAACTATTCTGGAAGAAAACGATCTCTTCAAAATCTAATAAGAAAAATAAATGAACAACAACAACAACATCCTCTCCTGTGTAGGCTTCCTTGTTGAAGCAGTTCTTATATGAGAAGATCCCAATTTGGGGGGCTGGAGGGTAGGGAGGTGGTTGGTCTAGTGGCTGGTTACCAGGGAAACTTCACATTGTTCAGGAACCTCAGCTCCTGAACCAGCCCTGAAGCCAGTGAAATACCACCCGATCTGGAGTTTGGGTCTGATGTTAAAGACACACTATTCTGTCTGATTACAGGCTAAATTCTGTCTGGACACTCTTTGTCTCACTGTCCTATGGTTCTGTGCTGCTCAGGAAAACCAGGAAAGGTGAGTTACTTACCAGTGAACAAAAATCAGCAGGCAAGTGCCACGGGATCTTTTAATTTTTATGATTCAAATAGATCAGGGCAGTAGCAGCTTATAGATAAGTAGCAGCTTATCTATGAGTTGCACAAAAAAAGCTTGGATAAAAAAACATGGGAAGAATCTTCAGTTTCTGTCTACCCTTCCCAGACAGTGATAATAGATTCTATTCTTTGTATCTCACTCAATACCTAGCAGTTCACAATGGATACTCAAATGTATGTCAATTCCATTTTAAATTGAAGGACATTCAGTCATATGTCAATGATTTTGGTTGCTTTGATTCTAGCATTTTTCTCTGAGTTTGTAGGGAAGTTCAAAAATTTTACTGATTTATTAAGAAGAAATGCTGTCAAGTTTGAGCATATTAGAGAAATAATTTTTGTATCTGATCTCATACTCTTGGTTTGAATGAAGATTTTTTTTTTTTGCTGAAGTATTTTTTTTTTTACCACAAATATGAAACATAAAATGACCACATTAAAATATAATCAGAAACGTACCCTCTGAAACATTTGAGGGAGCCATATTTCAGTAGGGCAATTTGGCAATACCTATTAGTATTTTAAATTTCATGTCATTTGACTAAGCCATCTACTGCTAGGAACACACCCACCGATCCCATGGATATACAACGAAAGTATACTAAGATACAATACAAAGATGTTTATTGCAGTGTGTGTGTATACTAAATGTTTAAATTAGGATAATAGTTAAATCCAATGTAATACATCCATATGGTACAAAACAATACAGGCATTAAAAGGATGAAGTAGATATGCATCTGTCAATACAGAAACATCTTCAAAGTGTATTATGCTGATTATGTGATTATGTGTGGGAAGAGGTTCTGGTTACAGGTAGAAGAGAACTCCAGCCTTATATTTTTCTTTCTGTTCTGTTTAAAATTTTCAAATATAGGCATGTGTTATTTTTACTTCTTTTGAATGTCAGCAGAAATTTTCTGGTTGATTACATTATAAGTCATCTTAATTTTCTTCTTTGTGTATCTTGATACAATTTAGAACTCAATAAACGTTATCAAAGAAATAAGAGGTGGACTAACTAAATTACAAGTGTTTTAAAAAGAAATCAGAATCTCAAAAGGTGTAGTTTTTTATTTCAATCAACTATTACAACAAAGCTGAGATAAAGCAGTTACGCTACAAACTATCAGTCTTGCTAAAACAATGGAAGACAATTAAACAGACAAGTTCATTTCTAAAGTCTATGAAATATCCTTAATTTGGCAGAAATTTTAAGAATAGTATTACAAAAGTGGCTGTAATTATGGACTCAAATTATGATACTCATATTTCATGAAAATCCATTTCTAAACTATTTCCTAGACTCAATTCAAATTTATTCATTATATGTTATGCTTGCTCTCATTCGTCTAAATGCTGAAATGAATAAAACAGACAAAAGAGATCAAGCACCACCATGTTTACATTCTAATAAAGAAGGAAAGAGGGAAGAGGAGATACTTATGTAAACTTAAGTAATAATTTATATATCAAGAGGGGATGTATAACAAAGAAAAATAAAGCAGTGAAGGGGCATAGGAAACACTGGTGGGAAACTGCAATTTCAAATAAAATGGTCAGAGATCTGATTTTAATTGTAAGATGAAAAGTAACTAAAGCCATATTTCTAAATCGTTTTGAATGTGAATAGCCTTATTTAATACCAAAACATATTTTTGGCTTTCACATGATCCTTGCTTCAATTGAGGAGCCCCTAATTTTGAAATATGCGTGAGCAAAAGCTACAATTAAATTTGTAACACTCTTAAATGTTATTACTAACTTGTAAAACTAATTTTTATTGAGTGATGATTCCATGCCAAGGATTGTTCTAAGCACTTTGCATGAATTTTCTTACTGAATCCTAACAAAAGTCTTACGAAGAAGGTAGAGTGTAATTGCTGTTTTATAGATAATGAAACTGAGGCACAGAAATTAAGTGAATGGCAGGCCTTCTGGGTGCCTCGGTCAGTTAAGTGTCCAACTCTTGGTTTCAGCTCAGGTCATGATCTCAGGGTTGTGGGATCCAGCCCCGTGTCTGCTTGTCCCTCTCCCTCAGCCCCTCCCACCACTCTAAAATAAGTAAATAAATCTTAAAAAAAAAAAAAATTAAGTGAATGGCACTTTATCTCTTTAAATGAAAGCTACTATATTTATTACAGCATCATTTTCTGTATATATTTAATCATGTTGCATGTTTTGTTAGAGATATAAAGATCAAAATAGCAACACTGTGGGCAGAGGTTGTTTTGCAAATTCCTTTCAACAACTCACAGATCCTCAAGGCTCCACAGCACACAGAGGGGAGTCACTGGTCAAAGTTTTCTCTGGCATTCAGCTACATCTGGATAAGCGCTCTTGTGGCCTGGGTGGTAGAGTTCAAAGCATCTAGATACTCCAGCAACACAATCATTAGTGTGATCAGAAATCCAATGAAGGGATGCACCTCATCCAAGAATGAGGAGTCCTGGGCACTTAGTTGTCATGCAGTCTCAACATTACTGCCCCTCCTTAAGCCCCAGTTTCCTCATCCATAAAATGAGGGGGTTTAACTTGGAGACTTCAAAGATTCATTTCAGCTCTAACTTCTATGACTCCATAGGTGGAGATAGTTGGGCATTGAACTCTCTCTTTAGCAGGCTTCTAGGATACCAGGAAACTAAATAGAGCTTCCAGAAAAATGCTCGAAATTCCTTCCCCAGCCCCTGAAAACTATGAAAAAATGCCATGTAATTGAATGTATTGCCCACACAAAATGAGCAGTTGTTTTGAAAAGTGTAAGATTAGGGTGCCTGGGTGTCTCAGTCAGTTGAGCATCCAACTCTAGATTTTGGCTCAGGTCATGATCTCAGGTCATGAGGTCAAGCCTCACATGGAGCCTCACGTGGAGCCTGGTGATAGGCTCCATGTCAGCATGGAGTCTGCTTGCCCCTCTCCCTCCCTCTGTGCTCCTCACCCCACTTGCATGCTCTCTCTCTCTCTCAAATAAATAAATCTTTTTTTAAAAAAAAGAAAAGTATGAGATTATTTAAGAATTTCCATTTTGGAATGAAATATTCTACAAATGTATACAACAGTACTTTGTCTTACAGCCTATCACCAACAGTTGGGAGAAACGTACTAGAACTGGAAGTTGTAACTCTAGGAATATCCACTCTAAAAATATTTAAAAGTAGGATTTGTAGTCATGAGGATGTAAATTTATAGGTGTTAACTAGCCTTAAGGAAGGCAGGGAGATGCAAATGATTCCTAACATCATATCTGATTTTGTAACTGAGAATGACTTGTAAAGTTTTACTCCCAACAAGCATTTGATGTGTATAACATTCCTCTTCAGGGCTTAGAGGCTTTCAAGGCATGGCCAGACACTCCATCTTGTATTTCATCCTCCTGAGTGCTCTGATTGACAAGTGCCAACCCTGTTTCTGTGATCATTACCCATGGGGTCAGTGGTCTACCTGCTCAAAAAGCTGCAATTCTGGAACTCAGAGCAGACAGAGGTGGGTGTGAGCTATGTAGCTTGTCTTTGTGCCATGGGAAACCTCACAGACTTAGCAATATAAAAAATGCCACACTAAGCAATGAGGTGCAAGGGGAAATATATGTGTGTGTGTGTGTGTGTATCTCAAAGTAAGAAATCATAGAATTTGATTTGGCTGTAATTTGCAGTCTTTTCCACGTAAGGTTGAAATGAAGTCTACATTTGTTCTCTTCGTAAAATCAAGGAGTGTCAAAGAAATTTAAATAAGAATATGTGCAATATCTTCTGTTGACTATTTAACTTACTAAGAATCACTTCTCAAGGCTTTTTTCAATCAGTGTGTAACTCCACTTGCCTACAGTTAGTGAGTTAATTATAGAGAATTTTCTACTCATTAAACTGAGTCTAACAGGACCTCAATTGAGCAGCACTATTAGCTATTAGCTTGATCGTTGGCAAGTACGAGAAGGCAAGAAAACTGTGTTTACTTGATAACATTTAATAATTCAGTCTTCTCACCGATTCAGACTACCTACCCCCACAGTTTCTTTAAATCTGTTAGATGTTTCTATTCCATGGAGATGCTCACATAACTTGGGAAGAAAGGCATATATTTAATGTGTTTTAATTATTATAGCTTTTTAGAGACCTATGTTAGAAAACGATTTTTACATGCGCATTGTGAGTCTCATTAAAATCACCAACTGACTTCCTCAATAAACCATCCACCAAGGATGTTAAAGCTTTTCAGACTCCTTCACTCAAGAGTCCCTCCGTAGCTCTCCACTGCCTACCAAATAAAGCACAACAATCCATACGGTCCCTCTCAGCCAGCACTGCCCAAGCCCATCCCACAAGCTCCACCAGGGACATGTCATGCTCCTCCGCCTCTAATCTTGGCATATGCCTTTCCTTCCACATGCCCTTCCCTTTGATGCCTGGGGGAGTCACATCAATTTTTCAAGATGTATCTATTATTTTCCCTTTGAATCTTTGGCCCCACAGCACTCTGACTCTGTCTCAATCATGATACTTATCAAATTATGTTGTCATATTTTAAGGAATTTGCAGCAACTTTCTTTTTTCTTCTCTTTTCCATCTAGTCCCCTCCAGGAATTCCCTGAGGGCCAGCTTCATGGATGTGTGACCTACACAGTCACACAGGACCACACTGAGAAGGATTCCATGCTTGCTTGGCTTAATGCTCTGCCATTAGTGTCTTAAAATTCTTAATAATTTTTTAATAAGGGGCCCCTTGTTTTCATTTTGCCCTGGGCCCCACAAATTATGAATCCAGTCCCGACTTCCATTAAGTGGTAAGAACTGCACAGATGCCAACGTCCTGATTTTCCATGAAAATCTTGCCTTTTATTCATTGTGATTCATGTTCAATGATATTTTTCTTATGGGGCTGGAACCACAGTGAATATATTCATTCTAAACAGCTTTCTCCTCACTATTACAGAAAAATAGTGGTTGATCAGTACTATCTGCATAACTTTTGTGACCAGCTTTGCAACAAGCCGGAGACCAGGGAATGTAACTGGCAACGCTGTCCTATCAACTGCCTCCTGGGAGATTATGGACCATGGTCAGACTGTGACCCTTGTGTTGAAAAACAGGTAGGTGACCCATGGGCATCTTCAGGAAATCTGAATCACAATGAAAGACTTGGCTAACTTAGCAGAAGTGCTCAATTTCTGAAAATAAACCATCCCAGCTTCCACTGAGGGAAAATTCCATTTAGCAATTTTTTTTTTTTTTTTTTTTGCGAGGGCAGGGGGAGGAGGACTCATTTACATGTTTTACTATCATATGAGCACCAAAAGGAACTTCTGCCCTAATACTGACATTGTACTTACTGAGTTCCAAATTCCATTGCCTCTGAGAGCTCAGAAAGTTCCCTTTGAGAGCTCAGAAAGTAAAAACAGATGCTAGAAAATGGGGATTTCAGTCCAAGGTCTAAAATCAGACAGAAAGGAGGGATGTTAATCAAAAGACTGACTCTTGGCCCTACCTCTAATTTCCCTCTCCCCCAGGAAAGTCCCTCGATTTGTTTATTGTTCCAAGCTGTAGTATTTACCCACACTAGCTCATTCCTGTAAGGGCATTGGCCCACATAAACCCCAGTTACAGCAGTGCTGAGCATTCACACACGAGGGGAAAAAAAGGAACTTATTTATGGAGCATCCACTCTCTGAGGAAAACTGCTCTAGCCCCTTTACTTACATCATCTTACTCAAACTTCACATCAGAGTGTGTTTTCCTACCCTGTTTACAGATGAGGAAGTTATAGCTTATTGGGGAGTAAGTAATTTTCCCAAGAATATACCTCTGATGAATAGAGGCGCTATATTTTTAACTTGGATTTTTCTGACTTCAAAGTCAGTACTTTTTGATCCTGTCCTATTCCTATCTTTCCCTGACTCCCTGTTTTTCTATTCACAATTTAAAATCCTTTAAAATGTGGAGAATGTGTCTACCTTGGTTTCCATGCTGACTTCCTCATGCGGAAGAACCCCCAAATCCTTTCAAATTGACCACACTACCTTTGAGATATGAAAGTGCTGTTGTGGGGCACCTGGGTGGTGCATTTAAGTCTCTGACTCTTGGTTTCAGCTCAGGTCACGATCTCAGGGTCGTGGGCTCCAGCCCCACGTCAGGCTCTGCACTCACAGTGTCTGCTTGAAATTCTCTCTCCCTCTCCCTCTGCTCTTTACGCTTGTGCTCTCTCTCTTTCTCTCTCTCTAAAATAAATAAATAAATCTTTAAAAGTGCTATTGTTACTACCTGGAAGATATACTGCATCAAGATACTCAGTAAATATTTGTGCATTTGATTTATTTTCATATGGTTTCAGAACTGGAAGTTTTAGAAATCCATTGTCCTGCTTTCTCATTTTATAGTTTGGAAAACTGAGGCCCAGAGAGGTGCTGACTTCTCTAAGGGCACAGAGTAATGGAATTGGAAAACTCATTAGTTAATTTAGGAAACATCACTGGAGGAAGAATCACTGCGGTGATTAAGAAGCCCAGTTTTCTTAGATACATTTTGGCTTTGACCCTGCCTCCAAGTTCCTCACCTTTCACTCCTTTCCTTTCAGTTTAAGGTTAGATCCATCTTGCGCCCCAGTCAGTTTGGAGGACAACCATGTACTGAGCCCCTGGTGACCTTTCAACCATGCATTCCATCTAAGCTCTGCAAAATTGAAGAGGTTGACTGCAAGAATAAGTTCCGCTGTGACAGTGGTAATGTACACTAGAAGATGTTCAGTCTCCACTAAAAATGACTTGACTAAATAAAGTCATTCCAGTTGACTACTAGTAAAAGCCATAACAGAGAAGTCCCACCATATGTTAAGTATGGGGAGACAGGGGTGTTATGGTACCAACTGCCAAGCCATTCATGTATGAAATTATAGCTTTGAAGCTATGATCATCTTGACCATGTACCTGATCCATTTACTCTTCAAGTACTGGTGCCCAGGTCCTTACACTGTGATAAAGAAGGATGAAGACAAAGCAGGAGGAAAAGGAAGACAAGGCAGATACTCATAAGCATTGGCTATTAATAAGTACAAATCTACAATCAGAACCAGCAGCTGAAAGGGAGTGACAGATTTAAAAGATCTTCAGTGTAGTTTATTAAGATAAGTATATTAAGATTAAGATTAAGATATTATGTCAGGGAGATGACTAGAGATAATGTGACAGATTTTCTTGGGTGGTCCGTTGAATGGTTCCAAAGGTAATTCCAAAGGGAAGACTGAAAATGCTTTAAACAGTAGCAACGCTCCCTTCAAGTCCATTACTCATTCAGATATTTAAGTTTCATTAGATTAAGAATGAATATACTTGAATATACTACTTAGTCATATGTATGCTCTTGCTACTTAATAGCTCTTCAACACCACCATTTTGAACTCTCTAAATCTGATTTCTGCACACTTTTTCAGTAAAGGTCCAGACAGTAAATATTTTAGGCTTTTTGGCCATATGTTCTTTGTTGCAACTACTCAACTTTGGCTCTACAGCATCACAGCTGCCATACGTGGTATATCAAGAAGGGGGCATGGTTGTGTTCCAACCAAATTTTACTTATGAAGACAGGCAGCAGGTGAGTTTGGACCCTGCTTCCTGCCTTCAGCCACAGTTCACTGACCTCTTCTCTAAATAGTCAACTTGATGTTAAAATTGGAATTTCAGATGAATAAAATCCATATCATTTTTGTGTACTCTGGAATACAATGAAAAGTAGAGTATTTATAGCTAAATAGTAGATCTCAAATTCCATAGAAAATTGACCCCAGACTTTAGATCTAATGTTTCTCTCCTCTTGGTCCTTGCTTCCTGTCTTCAGCTTTGCTGACCTTTTCTGAAAGTCAGACAGGAATGCTGGTGTCAGGATTTTCCCTTGGTGGCCCCCACACCTGCAATATGGTGGCATATGGGTAGGGAGATATACTTCATGGCTACATGCATAAGGTCATATCACAAGCTGACAAAAGAGAGAATATGAAAACAATCTTGCTGGCAATGGCTGAGTAGAATACAGATGTAGGCATTAAATCCAGAATATTAAGATAAAGGTTTAGAATTGAGGGGCAACTATTTGAAGCTTGAAGAACAGTTTTGGAACCAATTACCAGAAAGAACTCCTTTATACAATGGATGTTAAATCTGTGAAATTTACTACAGAAGGGTTTTCTTTGGCCAAAAATATTCACAAGTTTGAGAAGGCTTTAGATACATCCATGGCCCACTGATCCATAATGAGTGATTTCAGGAAAGCTAGTGTGTAAGGACAGGTGATCTCTAGTTCATCAGCAATATATCCACAGAAAGTGATTAAAAAAAAAAACAAAACCTGACTATTGAAACATATATGCAATGTTTGGTAAGCACCTGCTACCCTGAGCTCTCCTAGTGACCAGATCCCTTCACCAGGAATCCCTAGATCCTCCCATGATCCAGGCACTAAGTGGCCGATCCCTGGCACAGATGTGGTCGGTATCCATTTTGATCAGGTGGTGCCATGGCCTACCAATTGTTAAATATTATTGTTAAATACTGAAGATTATATACTACTTTGCTCTTCTAAAATCACCCATTAATGCCACTCTCAAAAGGAATCAAAGGTTGGATGGACCATTATTTGACTCAGTAGGATGTTTGGCCCTCAATTAACAAAGAACCATTTATCCTAAAGAGAGTTTCCCTCTTCCCTTTCCTCCTTCATGATTGCTGTTCTAGTTCCCCCAAAACTAAATATATGATTTTAATGCATACATGGATCTTTGAGAATTATCCATAAGGCTAATAATCCCCACATGCACTATGCCAATTCCTCTCTCAAAAGTCCTAGTTTTAAGCATAAAGACTAGAGAATTTGTGGCTCGTTATACATATACTAAACTATTGCAGTAACACAAATCAGCTCAAGTAAATAGGAAAAACATGTACAATTTCTAAATGATACATAGCTCCAGATATACATATATAGATGCATGCATTGGCTAAAGCATGCTGACTTCTGTAAATCCTCCACTATCCAAACTGCCCTTCACCTTTCCTGTTCCTTCTTTGGTATGGGATATATTTATAGCTTGCAACATCTCTCCCCTTGTGTTTCCTATTCCGTTGAGTTTCTGTGGCCTGGAACCATTCTCAGCTGTGTCCTATCGGACCTATATCACTCCTGCCACACATTCCTAAACATCACTCAGAAGATGTCCTCTTGCTTTCATCCCTCCCTTTGCTAATAGGTCCTCTTCAATATCCCCAGAAGTACTAAATGCATAGAATTTCTTATATTCAAACGTATCTGGTACCTTGCTCACAAAGCTAGGCTAATGAGAACTATACCCTGCACATATGTCCCTACCGCTGCCTAATAAAATGGGATTTCCTTTTTTTTTTTAGTGTAACTATATCAAAACTTATATTTGCTCCAATTTATAAGTGCGAGTTTCAAAACTTTTTAAAAATGTAATATTTGTTCTTTTTTTCCAATGGAAAAAGCATCTATATTTCAAACTAAATTACACATTCTTTTCTGCCCTGAAAAAAGCAAACAAAACACTAGAGATGTGCTATTTTAAAAACAGAGCATCTTTCAGGTTATATCTTTGGACTCACAGACATCCAATTCCCTCAATATATTCAATCTTGTTTGATTATGGTGCTCATAACTGTAATTCTTTATAATCAAGGTCCAGATACAATACAACATTTTGAATAATCAAAGAAGGAGCCTTAATTACTTTAATTTTTCTCTACCTTCTTATTGAAGATTATTTACCAAAAGAGTTGAAACTAACTGCTTTCTGGGAAACTTTCTATTAATTAAAAAAATGTAATTCAACAGATACCCAATATCCCCAAGCATTTCAGTTAGTCAAAATAGTTCTGCATAGCTGCAGTGAGATGCTGACCACAACTTAAAGTACTTAACCAGATAATCTTGAGTAAAACATTTAACTCAATCTCCTTGTCAGTGAGACCTGTACATCATTGTACAGATGCCAGCATCTCTGATTACAGATGAGAGGCTGGGGGACAGGAGAGGGGCTGTCATTGTACGTAAGTCATCTCGATTTCTGTAATATATTGATTTCCATTGATTCTAAGGATCCTTATGAAATTCAGCAAATTTAAAGAGGAAGGGAATTATCCAAGTAACGGGTTGGCACTGTTTTATAAATTCACTCACTTAACCTGCTACCTACACTAGTACCTAGTGGTTAAAAAAAAATTGTCTTTTTAACTTGTTCAAAAAACAACTAGATATAATAAATTTTATGTTCTTAAACGTAAGATAAAAAAAAAATCACATAGCATTACTCTTAGGTGTCTGGCTCCTTTTACTTAACCGAAAATTTTAGAGATACAATGACAGAATCATCTGTACGTGTGTGTGTGTGTGTGTATGTATGTGGGTATTCAATTATAGGGTTTTTTAAAAAAATAAAAACAGTGACCTTGAGTTTGTTGTTCTGAATCAAAACAAAAGTCTGAACCTACTGTTGATTTTCTCCTACAGAACATGATTTCTGCAGCAAGCTCACTGGAATGGGAATAGGATTCTAGAATTACCTCTCTTATTTAAGACAATCAGCCCAATGGTGACTAAATAATTCTACAATGATTCTTGTAATCCTACAAAAATAAGGGGAAAATATCAGTTTGGCATCCATTTCCGTATTTCCTAAATCTGTATCAAAAATAATGAAAACTTTCCCTCACCACTCTCCCTTGAAATTTAAAGCACTCACTCGTTTCAAATCTTAAATATCTTCTCAAACAATCATGTGTTGTTAATGTCGTTTGCTTTTCTTGACCAGGCCGCTGCATTGCCAGCAAGTTAGAATGCAACGGAGAAAATGACTGTGGGGACAACTCGGATGAAAGGAACTGTGGAAGAACGAAAGCAGTGTGCCTGGGGAAGAAGCAGCATATTCCCATCCCCAGCGTACAGCTGATGGGCGCTGGGTAAGTAGTGTCTCTTCGTTTGCGGGAGTAAAGGCATCTCAGGAGGAATGAGCTGGAAGCAGCAGTGAAGCGATGAGACACATGATTGTCCACCTTCCCCATTACCCTCTTATTACTCCCACCAGCCCTGTCTCCCACACGTGGCTGCCCTGCTCAGGCAGTGTGTGGCCATGATCCTCACTCCCATTTTCACCCTCAGTCTGTACCAGGCAATGCTAGGGGTGGTTCATAAACATGGTTTGTTTCCATTCTCATCTATCCTTCTGACAGCTCTGGGGTGAATCAGGCAAACTGGTGCCAGGGTGGATTCATTCCTGGGGCTAGGTCTTGAATGGGTGAGTAACCAATCAGAAAAGCACAGTTTCCTCATCTGTATGTTGGATGACTACAAACCGATTTGAAGTTCTGTCCTAAGAATTCCTAATTCGAGTTGATTTCTGTGAGAGTGCTTCAATCTCATCTTATCAATGTGCAGAAATGGTTTCCTTCTTTTCCTTTCCCTGGAAGAAAACCTCAGCCCAAAATTCCCACTGGATAATCACATTTCCTAAGGTTCTGATTGATGAGGGGTGACATTACAAATTCACCTCTTGTTCAGTTGATCTAGACTCTAGAGTTACAGATGGGGAGGACCACATGCTATGTGTACTTTGGCAGAAGGACCATGTGGCCCTCTGCCAACCAGAGCTGTTATCCCAAGGTTTCTCAGAAATGAGCAAAACCTGCTGGCTCGGGGACAGCCAGTCCTCTCCCCGCCTCTCCAGGGACTGAGAATTTTAAGAGCTGCTTACTGGAATCCCTTTCTAATCTGCTGGCCTTAGAATCTCTGCCCCTTCTCTAGCACATTTCTACCCAAAAACGGTAGCCTTCTGGTTTGCTGTCCCTCTTTTTAAGTGCATCTCTCCAAGGAAGAATTTAACAAGACATACCAACATTCCTACATTGCCAGCGCCAGTCACCAGGTCTTAAACCTAAAGCAAGAATCAGGCAATAATAGCATGCTCTTTGTTTTTTCTCAGGCTCAACCAAGGTACAAATGCATACACACACGGATACACAGGTACACACCTGCGAATGTGTGTGTGTGTGTGTGTAATTTTTAATGGAATTTTTAAAGTTATAAAATATGACACATAAAGCCAAATTAGATTAAAAAACCACTTTAAAAACTTAAAATATGAAAGACCATGATGTATTTGAAAGAGCAAAATATTTAAGGTCAACTTAAATACCAAGGAGGGGAGGAGAAAGAACAAAGCCGAAAATTGCAACATAGTTGACTTAACTCCTAAAAGACTCCTCAGGCATGCCCTGATAGAACCACCTCCAGAAAACTATCTTCGGGCTCCCTGCTACCTTCAGAGATTCCTCATGACCTGGGAGCCATTTTTTCTCAAGCCCTTTCTTGTTTGTGACAAACTCATAAGTACATTGTATAAGACAGTACAAGGTCAACAGTTTTTTACCTCATTGATCCCTCTCAACTCGGAAAACAAAAATGAATGAGTCTTAAAACACCTGTGTTTGTCAGGCTCCCATAAGTAGTCTGGAACGTTTTTTCCCAGACCAATTCCTCATACTTTCTCCGTCAACTATCCATTGATAAAAATTCAAATATGGATGAGAACAAACATCAAATTGTGCTTGCAGCTATTTGAGTATGAGATCCATGTTACAAAAACCACAGGAATCAGGCCTTAAAAAAAAAAAAAAAAGCTTTATTGAGGTATAATTCACATACCAGTTCTCCTCCTAGGTACCTCTTTTCCTCTCACATGATCACCCTTCTCACAATGCTCTGACACCAGAAGTGGGGGGATCCCCCAAGTCAATCTCTGTGACACCAACTGGGTGTCCTACAGTTGGACTCAATTCTGACACTTTCTACCTTAAGGTAGTGTCAGATGCCACAGGTGAAGGGCTCGGTCCCACAAGACCAGCCCCCCTCTGATGCTAATCACAAGTCCAAATTGTCACCTGTGATTCTGACACCTAGGAGGTTTTCAGGACCCCCTCCTCTTTGCTTTATTTGATAGAACGGCTCACAGAACTCAGTAAAACAATTTACTTACTGTTGTTAAAAAACAAAATTCAACGGAGTAAATGAAGATCTAATTGGCTTTATTCAATGATTCGTGAATCAGGCAGATAGAAAAGAGCTCCGAGGAGCTATACAAAATGGAAGACTTTTATGGGCAGAATGAAGCAGAGCAAGGAAATTTCTGCGAAGAGTGGATTCTGTCAGGCAAGGTCACCTTCCTTTGAGGGAAGGCAGGGGTTGATCAGGTAGATTACCTCACTAGTGCTGACCAGATAATTCCACATTGCTGTTTAAAGGTCACATTCTTGGAAGAGGCAATTAAGAACTGCAATTAGGTGAGGCATTAGGCTTGCTGACATGAAGCTTAGCCCAAGTGACTCCATTTTGTTATTTCTTTCTTTTTTTAAATACTGTTTACCAGTTTATTATAAAATGATGTAAAAAAGAATACAGATGAACTTCCAGATGGGAGAGATTAAGTAAGGCAAGGTATGTGGGAAGGGGCGTGGAGCTTCCATGCCCACCCCCAAACACACCATTCCATGTGTTTACCAACTCAGAAGCAATCTCAACCCCACAGTTGTATGATTTTTATGGAGGCTCCATCATGTAGGGATGATTGATCATTGATTCCATTTCCAGCCCCTCTCCCTTCTCTGGAGATGGGAGATAAGGCTGAATATTCTAAGCTTCTAAACATGGGTTGGTCTTTCTGATGACCAGCCCCCACACAGGAGCCTACCAAGAGTCAACTCATTCGAACAAAAGACACTCCTATCACCCAGGAAATTCCAAGGGATTTAGGAGCTCTGTGTCAGAAACTAGGGTCAAAGACCAAATATTATAACAAAAGATGTCCTTAGTGCTCTTATCACTTAGGCAGCTACAAGGGTTTTAGGACTCTGTGCCAGGAGCTGGGGAGCACAGACCATTATATATATTTTCTATTATCTTATCATATATAAGCCAGCATTATCAAACTTTCCACAAAACTTTTTTCACAGAATACATATTCATATCTATAAGAATTTAGAAATCTATTGGAGCATCTTGGAGAAGTTTTTCATCTACCACAAAACAATTTCTTAATTTCCATAATTTCTTCAATATTTGACTTGTGCTAAGCTAATGTCCTTCAGTTTCATCATTTGTAAAATAGGTGAAATAATTGTATCTATAACTGTATCACATGGTTATCATAAATATTAAATAACTATAATAGTAACATTAAATATAGATCAGACAGCTTGATATGTATATGTATAAATGTGACATATGCATATATGTATAAATATATGTGTATATTTACTATATATATACAGATAGTAAATATGTATATTATACATATGTAATGTATATAAATATACATATATTAAATATTTATATAAAAATACATATAGTAAACAGTATGTAAGCATTTGTTAAATAAATTTAAATATTAGTTATTAATAAAAACAATATCATTACAATTTTATTAAAATACTGCTATTACTATTTATTAGCTCTCTATAAGAATTCCTTTACTGTATCACACTGAAGGAAGTGAACCCAGAATAGCACTAATTATGTAATAATTTATTTTATAATCTGCTTCCAAAGTTTGTACTGGTGTGGTAAGTCATGAAATAAAAATAAACCTAAATTTTATTTCATGCTGAAAATCCAGAACAATTAAGTGAGTGGAATACAGAGAATCTAACAGAGCCAGAGGGGCTGAGTTTTGACTTCCAGCCCTTTCCAGCTGCCTCACCATAAGCTAGAAAAAAATGGGCTTTTCTTCAAGTCATTTGTCATGAGTCAAAAATGTCTAAGACAGGAGTTTCTTTCATATAAGTATGGTAAATTTTAAAGATTGCTCTACATCTATTGAATTCTTGAAAATTACTTTGTTTGCAGGTATCATTTTCTAGCAGGAGAGCCCAGAGGAGAGATCCTTGATAACTCTTTCACTGGAGGAATATGTAAAACTGTCAAAAGCAGTAAAGCAAGTAATCCATACCGTGTTCCAGCCAATTTGGAGAATGTCAACTTTGAGGTATGACAGCCTATCCTGGCGGCCCTCCAACGCTGATAGTGATTATAAACTAAATTTCCAATGAAAAATTATTGATGAATGAAGGGACAGAATACAAAGGTAATGAGCATTTTAAATCACCTATTATGGGTTGTTGTTTAATCCTTCCACAACCAGTGAGGTCAGTGTTATTATCATCCCTTTACAGATGAAAAAACAAATGTAACCAATTTGCCCATAGTCGAACAGCTTGTAAGTCAGGGATTAGAGATTCAAGGTCAGGTTTCCCAAACTCCAGAGTCCATGCTTTCTCCAGTGAACATTTAGCTGTACCTTCCCCCACACAGATAAATAGTTTGCTTGATTCCAAATATCCTCCTACCATAGCTAGTTCTCTCAGGTAACCACAATAGTTAGACGTAAAAGAGCTTCTTAAACAGTTAGACATAAAAGAGCTTCTTAAAACATCAAGATGAAGCTAAGGGTTACAGGGGTAGTACTTCTTACCTTTCCTCCTATTTTATTAGTTGATTTGGTTTTCTGTTTGTTTTCCTAAGTGTAATGAGCGCTATACTACATACTCCCAAAATCTAGCCCAGTGCCTTACACACGATAAGTGCTCCAAAACTGTTCAACTAAAGTAAACAATCGATTTCTTTCCATTTATGATAAGAGAAACAGGAAAGACAGGATTTTAATAGTAACATCCAGGCATGCAAATTTGACATGCTGAGAGAATTTCAGGGAGTCCAATGATTTCTGAGCCTGCTTTATTAATAGTATAACTTCAGCAAAAGTCATTCAATCCTTCCTTTAGAAAACCTTTTACATATATATATATGAATATAATCAGTTTTCCAATTTGATCATCTCAATTTAAAGCCATCTAATATGTATTAATGGGCATAGGGAATGCCCTTGGGGCCCAACTGCCAAAGTCAAACACCTTCTGGGAGGTGTTGCAGATAGAAGTGACAAGGGTAATAATTGACCTCTGACCAAGTAAAGAAACTCCCCACTATCTCCCCACAGATCCAGATGCTAATTCCAGAGGGCCCACCACCACCAAGGGAGGTGGAAAAGGTCTCATTGGTATGCTAAATAGGAACTCAGTATTACATTGTTCCAAAGAAATAGTAATTCTGCCAATAATAGCATTACTCTTGAGATGTATTGAATAAACTTTGGAGACAGAGCTAACACCCAAACATTTACATATAATACAGTTATGTTGGAGGATATCTTCTAGCTAGCACCTAAACAACCAACCCATACACTTATTTTAAAATACAATAATCCTCCACCACCACCACCCCCAACCCACTAAATACTGCCTATATTCTCAGCAAGCATCTATTTCACATAGTTTTACAACTTTAACATCTTAAACTCAGCTCATGGGATGAGGGCAGATTTGGGCAAATTTGTTATCTAAACATTTTATACTTAACAGTTTTGAAAGTACTTGCTTATATTGTTTCACTCAATTCCCATAACAACCTTCCCAGAAAAATAGAAGATTGTTTATATCCATCGTACCAAAGGAAGATCCAAGTTAGACAACTTCCTCGGAGTTATGCAACAAGTAAATGGCACATCAGAATTAGAACTCCTGGCTCCTGCTGCAGGGCTGCTTGAGCTAGATAAGACCTTGACAGTAATAGCAAGAAAGACATTAACAACCGTGCCCCACGTGCCCCACGTGCCTTTCCTAAACTGTCGTTTAAAAGGTATTACCTGCGAGATTCACCAATGGGGTGCTAGAGCTCGCTCTTCCAGCTTACAAGAGTCACTTGTTAAATTTTCAGGAACTTTGCGAGCCAGTTTATAAACATAGCCATTACTAAATATTAAATATATAATCTTTTAACTAAGTAAAAATACTAAAAACATAGGTGATAATTATTCAAAATTATCAATTCTCCGTTATTTTGCTACATTTTCCCATCTATGCGCTTGAGGTTACTTACATTTATTGTATCTATGTTACGAAAATGCTTTGTAAAAATTTGCTACCATACATCTCTTTCCAAGTTTGAATTAAAAGGCGCCACACAAGTAGCTTGAATCAGCTATGGTAGGAATAGATACACCATAACCAAGGGCAAGTGCTATAGTAAATCACAGGTTATCCCCCTCCCAGAGATTGGTTTGTAAACATTTACTAGCAGACCACTGGATCCACCCACATAACTTGGTAACCCAAGTCTGGGTGGCTAGGTAGATCAGGAAATACAGCCCAAAAATCCTCATTCAGAATAAAAGAGACCCCTTTCATTATCAATGTTGATCAAAATTTGTCGAACCGTAAGAAGCTACCTGAGTTGATCTCTAACTATATGTTGTTGAGTTTTAGGTAATATTCAAGTGCTGAGGAAGGTGAATAACCAGATCCAAGGTCACAAGAGACTGGTTGACTTTTCACTGATCTCCATATTATTTTGTTCATGCTGTTAGCAGGCAGCCATGCAAATCTAAGCTGTACCTTAATGAAAACAGAGGAGGAGAAATTCAGCAGGCATCTGACTTCCCTTCTCCTATAGTATTGCAGTTCATTAAGGCAGATGAAATAATGGGCTGGCTGGTACAGAAAGATGAGAGGCTCTTGAAAGGAAGGGCAGGGAAGGAAGGCACTGGATAGGAAGTCAGATTAGAAGACTATAGGAAGAATTCCGCCCCTCAGGGATCCCCCAGCTGCTAACTGCAGAGCTCAATCACCATATGATTCCTGCATCAGCCCCCAGAGTTGTACCACTTAGGAATACACCTCTCTTTTTCTAGGTGGTGCTGCTTTGCTTCTGGCTGTGTGCTAAGCATTTGCTGTCAGCCGCAAAGTGCAGAGTGTGGTTACCACTAGACTTTGATTCTTAGCAAGACACTGACCTACCTAGACATGGCCTCTTGCTGCAACCCAAAGCTATGAAAACCTTCATAGCTCTGCAATCCCTCAAATCCTCCCCAAATCCCTTGTGAAATCCACAACTTCAGGTAGTGTCTCTAACCCACACAGCACAGGAAACCAGGTGCCACCGAGTCCTCTCCAACCCCCCAGTCCCTCTATCTCGCCTCTGCTCCTTTCTACAAACCCATCTCCTTTCTTTAAACTCCAAAAGTAAAAGTGTCAACGCACATCGAGTCATAGGTCATCAGCCCACTGGATCTACAGACAGTGAGGATGGATGGGCTCAGCGATGTATGTAATGATATGTAAATGAGGATTAAAACCGTTTCCCCAGAGTTTGGTTAACATCTCTTCCTGGGAAAATCTATACTTTCAAAAGTTGCCTTGGCTTTCTATCATGGAACAGCATTCCCATCATCTCTCTCTTTCCCTCTCTCCCTCCCTCTCCCTTCCCCATATCTGCTCAGCCAACAACTTCTGTGAACTTACTTCCTAAATATCTTTCAAATGCCCTGGTTTCTCTCTATCCAACCACCACTCCCCTGGACCTGGCCATTATTCTGTCTCATGTGGCTTATTGCAACAGTTTTTGTAACCGCTCTCCTCGCCTCCACTTTATTAACTCTAGTTAACGTGATCTTTGCAAAACACAAAAATGATGGCAACACTCTCGATTTTTCATTCAATTAGTATTTTTAAGGAACCTATTACATGCAAAATCTTCCTTTAGATGTCAATCCAAATACTTTCTCAGGGTATGCAAGGCCCCGCCCCAGTTTCCCAGTTCAGTCTAATTTTTCAGCCCTGCTCACCCATAAACCTGTTCCTCCACCAAGTTAATATACATGGGCAGATTTTCTCTGAGCTTCTGCCCAGGATACCTGAGCCCTCTTCCTTCCATGCTAATATTTTTTTTCCTTTAAGCTGACACAGCTTTTCTTGTGTGAGAGCTAATTCATAAAACAAAATATTTGTAGTTTGAGCTTTTGAGAGAAATGGTAACGAAATGTCAGCAGCTATACTTAAATATGATCCTATTGCTTCATTGCTAACCGAGGAGCTTCGTTTGTGGGCCCTTTAAATGCTAACTAGCACTGTAGTATCTGAAAGTAACACTGAACTTTTGACTGTATCTTACTGTTGAGCAAGACTCTTCTGCAGCTGGGTTATTTTGTCTTTCCTTCACTGAGTCAAATAGTACAAGCTATTTGACTGTGGCATGCAGTTTGCCTCACAGTGCATTTTAATACTGAATATTTTAAAACAAGAAATTTCCCCATTGCAAACCAGACAAGCATCTTTAACATAAAGTACTCTTCAATAAATTTACTTTGCAACTTCTTTTTTTTTTAATTCATCCATTGTCTCTTTTTACCAGCATAACCATAACAGGGATTTAACTTGTACTTATCCTGCTCCACTCCTAGTTCAAGTCAAGCTCCACTGGTTGTTTTTCTCCTCTTCCCAGGCCCCTTCAGTGAAGGCTGATAACCACTTGCCAGGCAGAAGCAATCGATTATTTGTCTGTCCCACAGACATAGCCAGTAGAGTGCCGATGTCCAATATCTAGAGGAGGCTAAGTGGGTGGGAATGGAACCAGGACAGGCTAGGACAGGATCTGTCCTCCCCTTTTATAGGCCTCAGTTTTCTGGAAGATACCTTCAATTAGTTGCAAAGAACGTCAAATTCACAAGCAGACTAAAAATAGCCCTTGTTGCTTATGACCCTGTTCAGTCTCAGTTTAGGAGTCGTTTCCTTGATGAAGACTTAACCTGGAGTGGCCTCTGGGTTTTACTGGTTATTTATGCCAATCCCATTAGCAGCACAACACTTCCCACATTGAATTAAATGTCGGTGATTGTTTTTCTCCCTAGCTAAGCTATTGACTCCCTGAGGACAGGGACTAATTTTTTCCTTTATACCTAGCAAAATGGGTCTTCAACAAATATTTATTGAATGCATAAAGGCATGAAGGATCATTGCATTAGATCTTAACAAGTAGCTCTAATATTTCCTAAGTTATGTCTTATTTCATATGGATTTTTCTCCAGGTAAAAACTGAAGAAGATGATTTGGAAACAGATTTCTACAAGGACTTAATTCATCTTACAGAGAAAGACAATCAACAAGATTTATTTTCGAGGGAAGGGCACAGCAGTTTTCGTATACCAATTTTTTATTCCTCAAGGAAAACTCAAAGCACCACCCATAACCGTGCCTTCAAACAAGCCATTGAAGCCTCCCACAGAAAGGTAATCAAAATGGTTCCCAATCTGTTTATTCTTTTTGAAAAATTAATGCCAAGTCCAGCAATCATGCAATGAGAAGGGGAGAGGTTTTTTTACATCAAATCAGTAGGATTTCTAACACAAATTTAAATAGATTGACCTTGTTATATCCAATTTCAGAAGTTATAGAGGTAATACATATAATGATGCATATATTTGGCTGTATTTATGGTTGTGTTCTCTTTAAGTTTTCTTTGTCTTACTGTTTTAGGTGTATTTTTTATAAATCACATGTAACAGACCTTTGCTTTTTAAACATAATCTGACAGGCCTTTGCTACGGAAATTTTGCCTTCTTTGATTTAATATACCCACTGAAATACTTGATCATATTTCTTCCATTTTTAATTTTTCTTACTCATTTTATTTTCTTGCTGTTTCCTATTTCTTTACTTTTGCTGTCTTTGTCACATTTCTGTTTACTGCTTTTTGTCCTTTTGGTCATTTTGGAAGTGCTACTAAACTTTTAAATTCTGCTTGTGGTTATCTTTCTTTAATTAACAAGCATAATTAAACCTATGTTTTTCTTTTATCACATGATGGGGGCTAATATCTATAGGCCCCAAAAGATGTTTTACTTCTCTATTCCTCACCCCTACTATCTCCTTGAGAACGTATCTACCTTTCTGGCCCCCCACCACTATCATTACAGGCCTCCAAAACCTCAGTTTTACTGAGATAGTTCAAAACCTTTGTGTTCCCTTCCTTAGGATTCTTTTGTGTTCATTTTTATATTGCGCATGTTAGTTTGTATTTTATTCTGACTCTTGTCTTCTCTGTTTAAAGATTCCTCACATAACACCTACAAATTCCAAGTTCATAGTCTATATTTTACATTTGTGTTATATTTTATATATTATATGTGTGTGTGTGTGTGTGTGTATACATTTACTCCCTAAATCCTTATATATCTAAAATGCCTACGTTTTCCCTGAGCAATAAAGGAATATCTTGGCCAAATATAGGAATATTGGATCATAGTCTTCTTTTCTTGGTAGTTGATGGATGTTATTCCACTATCTTCTACTTTTCATTGTTGCATAGGAAAAATCACATGCAGAGCTGATTTTCTTTCTTTTATTTTCTCTGTCTGGAAATTTATAACTTTATTGTTATTGTTTAGAATTTAGGTTGTATCCAAGTATTAGACTTCTTCCATTAATCTTGCCAGGATCCAGTGAAATTCTTTCAATATGTAAAGATACATCTTTATCCATTAACCTTTCTTCTTCTGTTCCTTTTTCTTTTATTATTCGTATATGAAAACTCCTGGGACATGTTTTCCAATTAAGGGGATAGATTTCTATTAGACATTTTTAGACATTTACAAATCTCTTTTAAAATAGTATCTATTCCTCACTACAACCACCACTGTGTACTATTTGTTTTTTCCAAAGAGATAAATGGGAAGACTGAGCCCTGAATCATAGAACCTGAGGGGAGAGGTGAAGAGAGTTGCCAACACTGGAGCAGATGGGACCAGCAGCTGGAGGGCACCATTTTGTGGTTCTTCCTGCCTTTACCATAGTGCCTCTCATATTTTTATTTATTCACCCATTCATACACTTACATAAATAAGAGATTTTATAGCACTTTATCGATAATTTTCCTAGGCATTTCATATATCTTCAAAAGACCGCTAAGAGGGAATCAGAGTAGATATTTTTAATAACATTTTACAGATGAGTAAATTGAAGCCCATACATTTATTTTTAATGCAAGAAATATTTATCTGGTATCTACCATGTGTTAAGTACTACACTAAAGTCCATGAAGCTAGGTGGTTCCTGTGATCTTACAGTGAGTAAATGCCAGAGTTGGGCATTGAAATCAGTTTGTCTGATTTTTGCCCACTGTTCGTATCTACTACATTACACTTCAAGCTATCTGTTTATTCATTCATTCATTTATCCATAATTTCAACAAACTGTGAAAAGAGTAAAGCTCTGGTGATATGAACACATAAAAGAAGAGAGAATAAAATAGATTCCTTTTATAACATAAATTATTAGTGCGCTTTAGAATGGGCTATAGGTAGCATAGTGTCGCTCAAACTTACCAAATTATATTCTTTTTCCTTTTAAGTTTTTATTTTAATTCCGGTTAGTTAACATACACTGTTATATTTGTTTCAGGTATACAATATAGTGATTCAACATTTCCATACATTACCCGGTGCTCATCACAAGTGCCCTCCTTCATCCCTGTCACCCATTTCACCCATCGCCCCCACCTACCCATCCCATCCCCCACGACCATAAGTTTGTTCTCTATAATTAAGAGTCCAATTTTTAATTTGTCTCTTTTTTCCCTTTGCTCATTTGTTTCATTTCTTAAATTTCACATATGAGTGAAATCATATGGTATTTGTCTTTCTCTGACTGACTTATTTCACTTAGCATTATACTCTTCTAGTTCCTTCCATGTCATTGCAAATGGCAAGATTTCATTCTTTTTTATGGTTGAGTAATGTAAATTGTATTTTTTCTCTTCCAAGATTTCATTTAAATTCAAGTTAGTTAACATATAGTATAGTATTGGCTTCGAGAGTAGAATATAGTGAGTCATCACTTACATATAATATCCAATGCTCATCACAACATATGCCCTCCTTAATGCCCATCACCCATTTAGCCCATTCCCCCCTGCCCCACAAATTATATGCTTAAAACAAGTTGGAATCAGAATTACTAGGAAGTAAACATATACATCCCATGGCCCTTCTCTTCACTTACTGATTCTGAATATCTGTGGTTGGGCATGTGATTCTGGTTTTTTTTTTAAGTCCCCCAGCTTTCTCTAATGTCACATTCAGGATTGGAAACAACTGCTTAAAAATATAGTCTATAATGAGCAGGGAAATGGAGATGTTCAAAGAGACATAGATATATACATCAGTTTCAATGTTAAGATTTGCTTCACAAATGGTTTATAAATATTTCAGACATGCTAGAGATGACTCGTAAAACCCTTATCTGTGGATAAACAGCTGTTATTTGACCCTCTAATAGTCTGCCCCAAAGTGGAAACATTTTAGGCTATTCACAGTATCTGTTGGAACTTATGAAACTGCTGATATACAACCATTTTTTTACTTACGAAATTGTCAACTTCATCAGGTTGATCTTCAACATTTTTGATCAGATCTCCAACATTTTTGATCAGATCTCCACAGAATAAGGAAATCTCAGGTTAAGTAAAAAATGCTGCTGCAACCTTTCTTAGTCTTCAAATAGTGAAAACAAGGCACCCCACACTTGAACATCAATCCAAGTCCTTCAGTGGAGCTTAATGCTTTATTTATTTATTATGTCAATTTCAGATCTGACTAAACATTTTTTGGGCAGATAATCTATTTCAAAGTCAAAATATCAGTTTTCTTGGTAAGATTCAATGCTTTTCTGAATTACTTTATGACGTTGAACCCACAAAAAGGTGGTGAAAATAAAGCAAGATCTCACAGAATGTTGAAACTGATCATACATGGTTAAAAACCTACTGTCATGTCATTTTTAGTCTAAAATAGCCAGTTTTAGCCATCATGCACTTGATCAGTGTGTGTACATGTGCTGAGTTGAGTTACCAAGGTTTTACTTGTATTTTTTACAATTTAGTTTGTAAACAACCTGGAAATTTTGAGCCATCCATTTCAATGCCCGTGTCCAAACAGGCATTTCAGATACTCTGGAAGTGAGTGTGCTTCTTACTAAAAGTAGAATATCCATCCATCTTTCCAAAGCCATGGTTCTAAAAATTCAAGTATTAAACTTGAAAAAGAATGAACGGACACTGAAAATGTAAGCTCCTCAGAGGGATGAACTTTGTCTACCTTGTTCACGTCTGTTTCCACAGCATCTGAGGTAGCTGAGCAATAAATGTGTTAAAGGCAAGAAGGGGACAGGGGTGGGAAAAGGTAGGGGAGAGAGAAAGGAAGAGAGAAGGAGAAGTGTGAATGGTGACTCTTTTCAATCCTTGTGATTATTTCTTGTCTTTTGTGTTAGCAGCCATTTTATGCTGTAATTATAGCACACAGGAAAATAGCTATTTAATAATTTACAGCTACGATAAAGTTCTTTTGCTAAAATATGCTCCTCTCTCTGCTATTACTCAAACACTACAATTTGCTAAAATTGAGAGGTAGATAAAGAATATAAATTTTTTTAAAAGAACAGGATATGTGGGTATACTCATAAAACTCAGTGGATATATAGAAGGACAATTTAATGGAATGAGATTTGGGTATAATACCAACCACCAAATCATAAATTAACCTGACAGAACAAGAAATGATTAAAAAAAAAAAAAGAAAACCCAAAAACCCTCACACAGATATTCCTATTTATGGGTAGAGGAGAGAGAATATAAATAATGTTGTTTAATTTTAACCCTAAGTAATTTTGAATCATAACATTTTGGAGTTGAAAAGCAGTGTGGTGTGTCACCCACTGCACAGCCCTCACCTGTGCCCCAGATGACATTTCACAGACACCTCAAGCCTCAGAAATATAAATGCCTTTTCCCAGTTTGGGACAAAGCCGTGACTTGAATCTCAGTTGCATAGCTTTCAATTAAAAATTTGTGCAATCCTTTTTCAATGTTTTGCATTAGCAAGGCTTTCGAAATAAACACTCAGTAGGGACACAATCATGATTGACACTCAAGAGTGAAAGATTTACTTTTCCAATCATTGATCTCTTTTTGGTAGATCTGTCTACAAAACCTAGGCCTCGGTCACACAGTTCACGTTCCTGAGATAATCTTATCTGTTCAGCACTGTGAACGTCTCAGGAAAAAGTCCTGGGAAATACAACAAAAATTCTAATTTTGTGTGTGAGAGCATGCCACGGAGAGTTAAAGTTGTTAGCACGCTATGGTTAGGATGAAGCTGGTGATAAATAGATGACATTTAAAAGCTTGACACTTCAAACCTTCATTACCTTTAATCATCTTGGGTTTTCTTTTCTTTTCTTTTTTTCTTCTTTTCTCCTCTTCCATTTAGGATTCTAGTTTTACTAGGATCCATAAAGTGATAAAAGTCTTAAATTTCACAATGAAAACTAAAGATCTGCAGCTCTCTGATGTCTTTTTGAAAGCACTTAACCACCTGCCTCTAGAATACAACTTTGCTTTGTATAGCCGGATATTCGATGACTTTGGGACTCACTATTTCACCTCTGGCTCCCTGGGTGGCGTGTATGACCTCCTCTACCAGTTTAGCGTCGAGGAACTCAGGAACTCAGGTAAGCTTTTTGCAGCCCTCCCTTTTTTTATCAACTTGATTTGATTGCCTGCAATTCATCTTTCTCTTACTCTATTATTTTAATTCTTCCTTATCGACTTTTAGGCTCTGCTTTATTTCCAAAATGATATGAAGAACAACCAAAAGGTATACACTCAAGCAAATAAAATAAAAATAGAAAATTAGAACAAAAAAGAAGGAAAAATAAATATACTTGACCTCTTTGATTGGACATTAGGTTTGTTTCTGAATTTCCTGTTACCTGGGAACATCATAAGCTACACAGTAGTGTAACCTAAAAGAGAGATGCATGCTATTATCTCAAGAAAAAATGAAATTTGTCCTGGAATTAAACTCTAAAAGACAATTTACTTATAGCATTTTTCTAGGAGATAATTTTATAGAAAAATAATTATAGGAAATTCACTAGCAGTCTTTTAATGATTTTTCAGTAAAAGCCAAGGGCGTAAGATAAAAGAACAATTAAGGATTTGACCAGGGACTAAGTTAACGTGGGCTAGATAGGTACCTACTGGTGATAAAACTTGAAGCCAGATGAGAAAGTTTTTGAGAAAAGTTTGCAACTTTATACTTTGGGATATAATCAGGGATATTTTTCTGCTTACATGTAAAATAACAATATAAGCCTTGGTTTATAAATAAATCTTGGTTTCTTAACTGTTACCTTAAATTGCCAATTCTAATTATTAATACAGCTTAAGCACCTTTAGATAAATTTGTTTTCAGACTCCTTTGTGAAATGACACAGGGCCCTTGTGATGATTCTATCATGTGTCTCTTAAGGACATGCTTAGGAAACTGTATGGTAACCAGAACTCAACTGACCAATTACCCCAGATAAATAAGAATTCTTGATCATGTGACTTTTATACAATAGAAATCAGGGGGTGCCTGGGTGGTACAGTTGGTCGACTGGCTGACTCGTGGTTTGGGTTCAGGTCATGATCTCAGGGTCCTGGGATCGAGCCCTGCGACCGGCTCCACACTCAGCCTGGAGTCTGCTTCAAGATTCTCTTTCTCTCCCTCTGGCCCTCCCCGTGCTTTCTTTCTCTCTCAAATAAATAAATAAATAAATCTTTTAAAAAAAGAGAGAGAGATCAGGAATTTATTTAAAAAGACAACATCAGTCCCACCCTGGGGTCAAGAGAGTGTCAATCCCTTTCTTACATCTCATGATGGCAAATACTAATGTTTCATGTGGCTGCCCTCAGTTATTCCAAATTTTAAATGACTAGATATCCCTCATGGTCTACTTTCCTAAGAAAGAAGATGGGATAAGTGTCTTTGAGAAGGACTTTCAGTAAGAGAGCCTAAAAAATTTTTACCTGACAGAGTTACTGAAATCCAAAAGATTTATGCTGTGCTGGGCTTTCCACATTGCCTAACCCTAATGTTCCACTGGAGCAATGTTTGTATGATGAATTTAGTATCTTCTGCCATGAGAATACCACATTAATGCTGAGCAAAAATGGTTGGGGGGAAAACCCTTGATTGTTTTCATCTCACCCCTGGGATGAAATTATTTTGGTCACTTGCTGCTGTAGCCCAGAGAATAGTTTCTCACTTGATCAGCTATACTCATCATGCATTCAGAGCAAAGCCTCTAAAGGCTTAGCGATCAGGTCAGTTAAAGAACTATGTGAATCTTTAATCAGCCATCCAGGGTTTTAATAGTTAAAGACCCATGACCAAAATGAAGTGAGGAGCTATCCTTTCCTATTGAAATATTCTCACCTTCCATGTCTTTCTCTGTAAATAGAGGTAGAAACAGGTGCACATAATAAGGAAAAGAAGGGAGTTTGAGATGTGATAGGAAACTGGAAATATATGACCATAGATACCTACATACTCATATACACACATACATATACATATATATATAAAACACTTATATACACTTTGTAGTGTATATATGTATATTCAATTAAATATATTTCTATATTTAATATTTGTATATGTAATATATGTTCTTATATTCAATAAGTATATATATACATATATATATATATATATACACATATATATTTCTCTGTGTCACAATAATAATACTGGTACACAGTTTTAATTGTGGTTAAGGTGAAGCACACCCAGACAGAAACAAATCTTAAGGGCGCCTGGGTGGCTCAGTTGGTTGAGCGACTGCCTTTGGCTCAGGTCATGATCCTGGAGTCCCTGGATCGAGTCCCGCATCGGGCTCCCTGCTCGGCGGGGAGTCTGCTTCTCCCTCTGACCCTCCTCCCTCTCATGCTGTCTCTCATTCTCTCTGTCTCAAATAAATAAATAAATAAATAAATATCTTAAAAAAAAAAAAAAAGAAACAAATCTTAATAAAATGGAATTCTCTGGTGGGTATGCTTACCTGTTTTTGCCCAGTCTCTAGGTGAATATATATTCTGGCCTCCTCCTCTCTCTTTTCCATTTCTTCTTTCTTTGTTTAACCGTAAGATAGAACTAGAGTATAGGCTTAGGTTTTATTTGCTTTATTCAATAAGAATTGTATCCCTTGTCATTAATTTCAAAAACATGACCTGACTATTTCATAGTACCTTTTCTCCCTCAAGAAGAGGAAAACAAAATTAAATTGCTTTTTTATTTGCATCCTTCATTTATTCCTCTATTGTTCAATGTCCCATAATCAATTTAAAAGCTTGAATAAAAGTTGATTCACACTGATTGCTTCAGTGTGCTAGGTGAAAAGAATTTCAGAAATACAGCAAAAACATTAAACAATTAAAATATCGTAATATGCAAGATGGTAATTTTAAACTCCTTTTGTTGAGAAGTCATTTCTTACTCTAAACTAGAGAACAATTACAGGCCCCACCATTTATCTGTATGACATTTTTGACTAACGCTGTTGACCTTCGCCCCATCAGAGTAGCTGAGGACATTTCTGAAATACTTGTCCCTCTGCTACATCAGAGGGACACTCAGGTTTGAGAGGCCAAGTGCTGCAGCATCCAGCAACTGGGTAGAGGTCAGAGAGCAAGCTACAGGAAATGCAGGGGAAGAAAGACTTATACAGAAATTCACCGATGAAGCCTTGATATTTTAATCACTGCGTGACTGGCACTGTGGCTCATAAGAGGGATTCATCATTCAAATCTTCCAAGATTCTCCGTTAGCCCTCAGAAAATGAAATTAACTAAGTTGATAGTCAATTAATTATGTTATAGTTAATAAATTGGACACATAAAATTTAATTTTCATTTATAAATAATAAAAACCTAATGAAAAAATTTAAAAAGGATGGGAACGATGCCTTAAATTCCTAACCTGGCCTAAACAGTGGACTGACCTACTTTTTAGAACATTACCAGAAGAAAATGACTCATTTATTCAGCCTCCCCAAAAAAGAAAACCAGACCTTTTCTTTTTTTTTTGGTTAGAGTTACAAATGCATGGTAAACTTGTAAATATGAGGACTTTAAACTAAGAATTTTTCACTGCCAAGTTATACTGCATCTCTTCAAATGTGTCAAACTATTGAAAATACCATGAAGTAGGCAGACCCCATCCCCTTCTACTTGGCCTCATTTCTCAGTGGAATGTGCCTTTAGAATTCAATTTCAACATCACACCCAAGCTGTGCCTCAAGCTCTAAAAACACTCCTCTGCTGATTGTAATCTACACCCCTAAATATCAGGATTTGAGGAACTACTTTGCTTTAAGGTTACTTTAGGTGCTGATACAGCTCTATCTCTTGTGTGCTTGTGTTTTGCAAGGCAGTTTTTAAGTAACAATCAAAAAACTGAACTCTTGTGTCAACTATACTTCTATTTAAATAAATTCCATTAAAAACAAAAACCAAAATCTGGATTCTAATTTTGGTGTTTGAGGTAGCAGGTCAGGAGGCCTAGGAAGCTGTTAAGAAAAAGGATGGGGCGCCTGGGTGGCTCAGATGGTTAAGCGTCTGCCTTCGGCTCAGGTCATGATCCCAGGGTCCTGGGATCAAGTCCCACATCGGGCTCCTGACTCATCGGGGAGTCTGCTTCTTCCTCTCCCTCTGCCTCTCCCACTGCTCATGCTCTCTCTCTCTCTCTCTGTATCTCTGTGTCTCAAATGAATAAATAAAATCTTTAAAAAAAAGAAAAAGGAAACATTGATTCTCTTCAAATTACCCCGGATAGGCGGCACCAACTCAGCCTACAAATAGCCAGACCTGTTTCCCTGCACCGTGTCGCCTCGATTTTGAAGTCATTGAGAATACAGGCAAGGGTGGGAGTGGGAAAGAGCGACTCAGAGGCCAAATTCTTCAACAAATGATGCTTGGAGGTTTGGTAAAAAGCAAGAACAATGAGAACTAAAGACATTAGAGCCGAATGGCCTGAGCCTTGGAGTACCAGGGTTTTGACAAGACTTCCCATCCTGTGGCAGCACTGGGAACCTAGGAGGACATCAACGCCAGCTCTCCGGGGCTGGGAATGAAGCAGTGTCCGCCTTCCTCGCAGACAACAGGAGAAACAAGGAGTACAGGCTTGAATGAAGATAAGGAAGAGAATAGTCAGTGAGGACACTGAGAAGAGTTCATAGGTCAGCAAGTCAGAATTTCTGAGAGAAAATAAAAGGGTTTTGGAGGTACAGGTGGAATGAGCAGCTGAGTCAGGGGAGACAAGTATGAGGATGAGTGTTCAGGGAAGGAGGGCTGAGCAACAAGATTTCCATTTTAAGTGATGACCGGGGAATAAATGAGGTGGACTCAGGCCTCACAGAATCAGCTGTGGCCCAGAAAGAAGGCCTGACAGGGGCACCACACAGAACATGTGTTCATCTCTTCATTTGCAGGGTGAGAGAGTGGCTGCGGCCAGTAGGACAGGCAAGCTTTGAGGCTCCTTGTGTGTAGGCAACAGGGAGAGGCCCACATGAGCCCCATGGGATGGGAAACAGCCACCTTATATTTGCTTCTTAGGGCCAGTGCTGAAGGGAGAGACAGCAGGGACTCTTAAATACTTCCTCTGTTCCGGATCATCCCAGGGCCTGTGAAGCACTGAATCTGGAGGGCTTTCACCTCATTGTTAACACAGGAGCCTTATTTACATATTTCTCTTAGACTCTTTTTTTTTGTTTTTTTAAAGATTTTATTTATTTATTTGACAGAGAGAGACAGCGAGAGAGGGAACACAAGCAGGCGGAGGGGGAGAGGGAGAAGCAGGCTTCCCACTGAGCAGGGAGCCCGAATCGGGGCTCGATCCCAGGACCCTGGGATCATGACCTGAGCCGAAGGTCATGTTAACAACATTGTTAACCTCAGTGTTAATCATTCCAGCTTACAGGAACTGGAGAAGATAGAAGCTGATACAGAGTATCTGTAGCTCCCCAGTGCCCAGAGCCTCACGCCCCTCTTCTCTGAATTGTCAGTGGTGCATTCTCGGGATGTTTTGTCTGTACTCCATTTCCTAGGTTTAACAGAGGAAGAAATCCGAAACTGTGTCCGGATTGAAACAAAGAAACGCAGGTTTGGTTTTAAGAAAACAAAAGTGGAACACCGGTGTACCACTAACAAGATGTCTGAGAAATACGAAGGTAAGAGTACTTACTCTCTCCTAGCAGCTTACCCTGTCCACAGGTGGCTGTGATCGGAGTACCAAAGGACACTTGACTGCTATTTTTAACTTTCCTTTATTTCATTTATCTACCTCAGAGCCCTCTGTGTGGGGGGCGGGGCGGGGGGGGAGGGTGAAAATAAAATATCATTAGCACTACTTGCAAGGGAAATAGTTAAGGTTTTCTTGATCTTATACTTAGGTTGTTTAACATTTATCGATTCTTCCCATGGACCGAACTCAATATTAGACATTGTAATGTAAAGATGGGTGTCAAGCAGGCCTTCCTATCAAGGAGCTTACAAACTACACATATAAACAACCATTAAAAATACAGATTGATAAGAGTCTCAGAGAAGGGGCGCCTGGGTGGCTCAGTCGTTAAGTGTCTGCCTTCAGCTCAGGTCATGATCCCGGGGTCCTGGGATCGAGCCCCGCATCGGGCTCCCTGCTCAGTGGGAAGCCTGCTTCTCCCTCTCCCACTCCGCCTGCTTGTGTTCCCTCTCTCGCTGTCTCTCTCTGTCAAATAAATAAATAAAATCTTTAAAAAAAAAAAAGTGTCTAAGAAAAGTATGTAAATAAGGCTCCAGCAACCACACCAGAAACCTGAGTGTTGGCTTAATTTCGCCCTCTTTCTAGCCTCCATATCCAATAAGTAATCACTCTACATCCTTGATATTTCTCCCAGTTACCCCCATCTCTTCATTTCCATGGGCATGCACTCTGTTCATTATTCCAACCCGGATTACCGTGGAAGCCTCCTAACTGGTCCCCTTGCCTCTCCTGATGCCTTCTGCCAATCTATTCTACACATTTCCTGTGACGGGAAACTTTTCCAAGGCAAACCTTATCATGCAGTTCTCATGCCTTAAACATGTCATGGTTTCACAAAACCTTAAAGATAAATTCCTGCCTCTCTCTCTCTCCCTCTCTGCCTAGCTAAACTATATAGTCTCCTAAATAAGTCATGCTTTCTCTTGTGCCTTGCCATTATAAACAACTCCTTCCTCTGTGTAAAGTTCTCTTGTTCCCTGACTTTGCCTGACTGATGGCTGCTCATCCTGCTAACAACGATGGGTTGTGCAGAATCACAGAAACTCCTAAAATATGAAGCTTATATTCTCCTAGGGAGACAGACAAGGAACAGATAAAAATATTTACTATAACAATAAACAGATAATTTTGAATATCAGACCATATAGATGATCTACATGTATATGCCCATGTTAAGCAGAAGCAAAATAAGCATTGGTTTGACAACTATGCGCTCATATTATAGCAAAAAAAGAAAAAAAAAAGGAAAAAAAGAACATGCAAAACAGATGAATAATCTAGTAATATAAAACCAAAGAATGGATATAGATTCTTTTTTTTAAATTTTATTATATTATGTTAATCACCATACATTATATCATTAGTTTTTGATGTAGTGTTCCATGGTTCATTGTTTGCTTATAACACCCAGTGCTCCATGTAGTACGTGCCCTCTTTAATACCCATCACCAGGCTAACCGATCCCCCCACTCCCCTCCCCTTTAGAACCCTCAGTTTGTTTCTCAGAGTCCATCGTCTCTCATGGTTCGTCTCCCCCACCGATTTCCCCCCTTCATTTTTCCCTTCTTGCTATTTTCTTCTTTTTTTAACATATAATGTATTCTTTGTTTCAGAGGTACAGGTCTGTGATTCAACAGCCTTATGCAATTCACGAGCTCATCATAGACCATACCCTCCCCAATGTCTATCACCCAGCCCTATACCAGTTTTTCATGCAATAAATTAAACAACAATGTGAATTCAATAAATCAAGTGCTCAGAGACAAAAAGATTTTGAGAATTAATTGAAAAGGCAAATTTCAAAGCAAGGTACAAAGACAAACAAACATTCAAAAATATCACCATTATAGTTCTAAATAAATTAGATGCTGCAAGAACAAAGTATAATCGCCTGAAAATAAAACCAAGAAAGTTAATCACATATATGAAGGATTTAAAGTAATTGATAATAAATGCAGAGAAAAATTTAGGTATTAACAGTTATTAAGGAAAATCTAATGGAAATGAAATGACAAATATAACTTAATCTGTGGGAATTTTTGTTCCTGAAATAGAAATCCCCAAAAAAATCAAAGAGGAAAACTGTTAAGAAAAAAAATACACAACTATGTATGAATATATCCCTAAAATAAAGGAACAAATTTGTTTTGATTATATGCATCAGAAATATTGTTCAAATATATAACTTCAAGACAAAACCTAATTAATTTACTAAATACAAAGATTTTAAAAATGAATTCTTCAATTATCTTGACTGAAAGAACAAGTCTCCCACAGAACAACAAAAATGACAAAATCTGTCTGTCCTTAGACTTCTCCATAACTAAATTCAATGCTATAAGACAATAAAGTCCACAAGTTTCTGAGAGAGGAAAAAAAAGTAATTTCCTATATAAAGGTAACAGGAAGACATCTCAAAACATGAGAGAATTCTGAGAATATACATTCTTGAGTACTTACTGAAAAAAAAACCTGCTCAATTATCAATTACAAAATTCATCCAACAAAGAGATGAGAAAATGTCAAATATGGACCCACAGTTTTCAGCTTGTAGGAATAAGGTGAGGACACTGCAAAATCAGAAACTATTACAATGGTCTCTACACTGGTTTATCAATTATCCATTGCTACCCAGGTGACACATTGCTAATACTCCTGAATTGTGTGAACTCTCCAACTCAAAATGAAATGTTCTAAGGAATGTAGTCATTTCTAAACCCAGAGAATGAAGTCCAATCTTCTTGACTTTCCATCCAGATCCTCTCTGTTTTGTGCTCTTTGCCTACCTGAACCTTCAACTTCAACTCAAGCAGATGTCCATGGGCACTGTCTCCAGAACATGGCACCATCCGCCCCTCATTCCAGGTCTTTGCCCATTCTGGGAAGGCATTGTCCCCTACCATATCTTAGCTTTGCCTCAGAGTCCTTTCATAGTCCCTCCCTAAGTGCCTAAGATCGCAGAATTCTTCCATGGACCTAACTCAGGAATCCTGAATTGCTGTACCACTCTGTAACACTAAGCCAAACTGTTTTGATGTTCTTTTTGTGCACATTTCTTTCCCTTCCCTACCCACCCTTCTTATCTTCCTTCCTTCCTTCTTTCTTTCCTTCCTTTCTTATTTCTCTATAGTTTTGCTAATATTAGTTATGTACCTATTTTGTCTCCTTATTGAGTCTAAGTCCTTCAAATACAAAAGGCATATTTTACATTTCTCTCAGTCTTCAACCTGGCATATAGCAGATTCTCAACAAATGTTTATTAATCATGATGAAAATTTGCCTAAAATCAAAGCACATTTAAGAGTAAAACACGCACAAAAACATAATTTGTCTATGTCTAATCCTGAGCTCATTTGATTAAATCACTGGACTCCAAACTTTTTAAATCTATAATGATATCATTAAAACTTTTTTACTATATATCCCTAATATACTTACTAAAAAAATACTAACGAACTTTATAAATGTAGTATTCTAAAAATATATTATGCACAAAAATATATACAAATGTGGAAAAGAGAAAATTTTGAAAGATAGCCTATATGAAATAAACAGAATTTTTCATTGTCTTGCTCATATTATAATGAAAAATTAATATTTCATTAAAAACTCCTTGAAATTTTTGATATGTTTTGGGCAGCTTTGGTGTCAGTCTCACGTAGTGGCTTACGAGAAGCTTGTGTAAGAAGTAGAAACATCTGTTCTTCCTTCTACTAGTTGGTTTTGCTTATGTTTGCACTATTGGTATCATCTTCAATATGCATTTTCTTCCTGGAATCTTTTTTTTTTTTTTAAAGATTTTACTTATTTATATGAGACAGAGAGAATGAGAACATGAGAGGGAGGAGGGTCAGAGGGAGAAGCAGACTCCCTGCCGAGCAGTGAGCCCGATGCGGGACTCGATCCCGGGACTCCAGGATCATGACCTGAGCCGAAGGCAGTTGCTTAACCAACTGAGCCACCCAGGCGCCCCTTCCTGGAATCTTTTTAAACCACTTGTTCACTTGCAAGAGTTAGTTCTGTTCCACTGGATTATTTGTTTTTTGGGTGTTGAGTTTGAGAAGTTCTTTATAGATCTTGGGTACCAGCCCTTTATCTGTAGTGTCATTTGCAAATATCTTCTCCCATTCTGTGGGTTGCCTCTTTGTTTTGTTCACTGTTTCCTTTGCTGTGCAGAAGCTTTTTATCTTGATGAAGTCCCAAAAGGTCATTTTTGCTTTTGCTTCACTCGCTTTTGGAGATGTATCTTGAAAGAAGTTGCTGTGGGCGATGTCAAAGAGGTTACTGCCTATGTTCTCCTCTAGGATTTGGATGGATTCCTGTCTCACATTGAGGTCTTTCATCCACTTTGAGTTTATCTTTGTGAATGGTGTTAGAGAATGGTCGAGTTTCATTCTTCTGCATGTGGCTGTCCAATTTTCCCAGCACCATTTATTGAAGAAACTGTCTTTTTTCCATTGCATGTTTTCTCCTGCTTTGTCAAAGATTATTTGACCACAGAGTTGAGGGTCCATACCTGGGTTCTCTATTCTGTTCCATTGGTCTATATGTCTGTTTTTGTGCCGGGACCATGCTGTCTTGGCGATCACAGCTTTGTAATATAGCTTGAAATCAGGTAACATGATGCCCCCAGCTTTGTTTTTCTTTTTCAACATTTCCTTGGCGATTCAGGGTCTTTTCTGATTCCATATAAATTTTAGGATTGTTTGTTCCAGCACTTTAAAAAATGTCATTGGAATTTTGATTGGGATGGCATTGAAGGTATAGATTGCTCTGGGTAGCATAGACATTTTAACAATGTTTATTCTTCCAATCCATGAGCATGGAATGTTTTTCCATCTTTTTGTGTCTTCTTCAATTTCTTTCATGAGTGTTTTGCAGTTCCTAGAGTATAGATCTTTTACCTCTTTGGTTAGGTTTATTCCGAGGTATCTTACGGTTTTTGGTGCTATTGTAAATGGAATTGTTTCTCTAATTTCTCTTTCTACAGTTGCATTATTAGTGTATAAGAAAGCAACTGATTTCTGTGCATTGATTTTGTATCCTGCCACATTACTGAATTGCTGTATGAGGAGATTATGCTAAGTGAAATAAGTCAAGCAGAGAAAGTCAATTATCATATGGTTTCACTTATTTGTGGAACATAAGGAATAGCATGGAGGACATTAGGAGAAGGAAGGGAAAAATGAAGGGAGGGAAATCGGGAGGGAGAGATGAACCATGAGAGACTATGGACTCTGAGAAACAAACAGGGTTTTAGAGGGGAGGGGGGAGGGGGGATTGGTTAGCCCGGTGATGGGTATTAAGGAGGGCACGTACTGCATGGAGCACTGGGTGTTATACGCAAACAATGGATCGTGGATCACCACATCAAAAACCAATGATGTATTGTATGGTGACTAACATAACATAATAAAATTAAAAAAAAAGAAAGTTAGTTCTGTTCCAGCGGTAAATGGACTTACTGCTCACTCCTTTTTCAGGATCCCATGCTTATCATATTAACTCGTACGTGTCAACCCATTCATGAAATACATGGTATCAAGCCAAATGTGAATAGCGTGTCAGAGCTACTGACCATTGGTACATGATATATTGGCAAACACTAATTTCTCTCCTTTTTTACATGAAAAATAAATACAAAAACCTCTAAAATGTTTCCTTATACCCCTCTGTGTTATCTTATGCAACCTCACTTTGAACAGGATTATACTACTTTCTTCACAGAGAGAGTATTTCACCCATTGTGCTGATCATTCTAGACTCTTACTATAGAATTTCTAAACAGTGGAGGCATGGCTAATCCGTACTGCAGAATAAACACCAAATTAATGCCATTAACTCTCACCCATATCACTAGCCTCCTCTTCATTTGCTTTTATTTCTCACTATGTTCCTATTAGTCAGCTTCTACCCTTACTAGTTAAAGACATCATTAGTTCATAGGAATTTCTTTTTTGAAATTTTGTATAAAAGATCTGTGCTGTGTACGGTAAATGTCATTGCTTCTAAAGAAACATTGTGCCAACTCTTAACCTGAGGTTTAACTTTTTCTTTCTCTTTGGTTAGTTGTGCTTTTGCACCTGTCTTTAAGCTTAAAAGCATTCTATCAACTTTCTGCTCTAAATGGAAATCTCCAGCCTGGCAGTCAACTGATTGGATATCAGAAACCAGGTGATCTGTGTTATTCTGAAGGCCCAAGACATATGCTGATATACATCAAAAGCGGGAGCTTTGGCATCCAAGAGCAGGGAGCTGAGTAGCCTGGACTTGGGCTGCATTTACACCCCAGGCTGCTCCCCACCACACCCCCAGTTAACTGTGCATGTGTTCCAGGCTAAATTACCTCTAGCTTCAGTGCCCGTGTTTATAATACCTACTTCTCAAGATTGTTGTGAGAATAACTTAAGGCAATCAGTGCAAAGTGCCTAGCATATACAAGTTGCTTAAAAAAAGGTAACTGCTAACACTGTTATCATTTCTATTACTAAACTCCCTGTAGGGATGAGGAGGAGTGTTCTCTTGCTTTTCACTAACTTATTTAATGGAGCTACATGACTACCATCTACTTCTCCTCCTGTGCGAATAGGCTTTTCTTTAAAGTTTGAATGTGCAGTAAAGCTAAAGGAGTCATTTTCTTGAAATACCTTGCAGGTTCGGTTTTGCAGGGAGCAGAGAAATCCATATCCCTGACTCGAGGCGGGAGGAGTAAGTACGCCGCCGCCTTGGTGTGGGAGAAGGGGAACTCTGGTCCTGCGGAGAAGGAATTTTCCGAGTGGTTAGAATCAGTAAAGGAGAATCCTGCTGTGATTGACTTTGAGGTAAGAGTCAGAAATATTATGGGTAGGGGCGCCTGGGTGGCTCAGTTGGTTAAGCGACTGCCTTCGGCTCAGGTCATGATCCTGGAGTCCCTGGATCAAGTCCCGCATCGGGCTCCCTGCTCGGCAGGGAGTCTGCTTCGTCCTCTGACCCTATCCCCTCTCATGTGTTCTCTCTCTCTCATTCTCTCTCAAATAAATAAATAAAATCTTTAAAAAAAAAAAAGAAAGAAATATTATGGGTAAGAGAGCTAAAGTGGTTCTCTAGCAGCCCAAATTGCGCACCATGCAATTCCTTTTCCGTTTTCCTCGCAGATGATAAAGGAAAAGTCTTTCTTTAGTGTGCATGCACAATGTACCTTTTTAAAAATGTTAAATTACACATCGATTGCATTTGCTATTCAAATGAGCATCCTCTGGTACAGTATTTAGAAATCTTAGCATACATAAAATACCAGGAAGGAGAATTTTTTTTTTTAAGATTTTATTTATTTATTTGACAGAGAGAGAGAGAGAGCACAAGCAGGGGGAGTGGCAGGCAGAGGGAGAGGGAGAAGCAGGCTCTCCACCTAGCGGGGAGCCCGATGCGGGACTCGATCCCAGAACCCTGGCATCCTGACCTGAGCCAAAGACAGATGCTTAACCGACTGAGCCACACAGGCACCCTCAGGAAGGGGAATTTAGTAAATACAATTCTTCAAACTTGCCTTAAGTAGTGCTCTTCAGCTCCCCATCTATACAATAAATCTGATTTGTGTACTTTTCTTACAACTTTTTATTTCATGAACACGCCTAAATCTTCATTTATAGCTCTGTGGGATAAATGGGATCTTAGACCCATTTGGCTCTCTGTTTCTATCACCATTGATTAAAATTACCTGTCCTGTATTTGTTGTGATTACATAAAAAGGTAATTTTTATTATTTATGGAGTACTTTGCCCACATATCTGTCATATGCCATTTAGAACCAGTTTCGACTAAAACAAGCACATGTTTAAGGCCTTCAAAGAAGCTATTCTGCTCATTTCATTTAAATGAAGATAAAGGAGTTCGATCATTATGAAGTAGAATAATTTACATGCAACATGAAGATACATTGAGCTCTACAGGCTATGATGGGAAAATGAGATCTGGCCACCCATCTGGACACCTGTGACTCATACACTTCACTACATAGTCATTCCTTGGAGGTTTTAAAATGTTAATAAAATGAGCTCTGATTTTGCGTTAGCTCCATTATGTGTTACTGTAATTCTTCCATTCATCCTACGGGCAAGTTCATCTCTCCCACTCCGTATTTTCTCATCTGGTCTCACCAAAAGCCAATCCTGTTCCTGGAAAAAAAGAACACAGAAAGCCTCTCTTCGCCCTCTCTGGATTTTTCTGCTTGAATCAAACCTAATGAGGTTTTGGCAGAGCGTGCATGAGCCGCCTGATTCCTGGTCACCCCTCTCAGTGACTTGAGGCATGCATTTGATGCTTACTGAATAACGTGATGTAAGTCCAAGTTAGCGACACCTCCCGTGAGGCTTCCTTCCTACCAGAATTCCAGGGAAGGTAAGCCCCAGAGACATCACATTAGGGACAAGAGAAGCCAGCTAATCCTGCAGATAGCTGCTCTGCCCTCTCTAGAAGGGAAAGAAAAGAAACTCCCTGCCCTCATGCAGAGGGTTTTTCTCCGCTGGCTCAATAGGCAAATATGCTATATTGTACAGTAATCCCTTTGAAGTGTGGGATTTTCCAGACCTTTCCTCTCCGTCCATGAGATTTGAGCAGTGATGGCAACAAATGCCCAAGGGATGTGGTGGCCCACACCTCCTCTCTACCATCTGCTCTTAGCTTGCTCCCATCACGGACTTGGTGAGAAACATCCCCTGTGCGGTGACAAGACGGAGCAACCTCAGGAAAGCTTTTCGAGACTACGCGGCCAGGTTTGACCCTTGCCGGTGCGCTCCGTGCCCTAATAATGGCCGCGCCACGCTCTCGGGGACCGAGTGTCTGTGTGTTTGCCAGAGCGGCACCTACGGAGACAACTGTGAGAGACGCTCGCCCGACTATAAATCCAGTGAGTATCCGTGACTTCCTGGGGGGAGGCCCCTTTTCCCCTCCAGAAGGTGTTCTAGGTTGGTCGAGGAAAACAAAAGTTTTATTTTCCACCTTATGCAAACTCACAAGGAAAAGAAGCCTGTGAAAAATTAGACCCTAAAGTCAAACAGCCCTGGTGAGAGTGAGGCTCCGCTGTAACCCACCAGCTGTGTAACCCTGGGAAAGTCACCCAACCCCTCTATGCCTCAATCCGTTCATCCATCAAATGGGGACAATGCCAGTATGTACCTGAAGTTTTTATATATAGATATAGATATAGAGAGAGAGAGAGAGAGAGAGAATAGGCAACACAATGCCTGTAACATAAAATAAATAAAATAATAAACCATACTATAAAATAAAGTATGTGATACTCTTGTTATAAGTCTCTTCTGTAGTATAATGTAGAATGACGATCTCTTTGTAAGTGGAGATAAGTTAAGCCCCCACCAAAGTTTTCATACGGGGTTAAGTCATCTTCATGGCTACCTGTAATCCTGCTCAGAAAGGGGATGTGTCCTGGGGGTAAGAATGTATTCTATTACGTTTAAGAAAGTAATTTGATATATATATTCAGAAGAAGTTCGTCTTTATACATATGTGCATGCATATTTATATATGTGTGTGTGATACGTTGCAGATAGTTGAAAATGATTCATAATTGTTGCCATTTTATTCAGGCTGTGGGAACAGGAAAGGGAAATCAGGCAAGGTGTCAGGCCCTTGTCACAGGTAATTTCTTTTAATCCTCACAATAGCCCTGTGATATTCCTCAAAGAATCACAAAGCTAAAAAGCAAGGAGACCAAGTCGGCCCGGCTTCACCCCCCTCCCCCGCCCCCACACTCTCTCAGCTGCACCGGGATGGGCGGGGATGCTTCCTGTGTTCCAGATGCGGTGGATGGGAGCTGGAGCTGCTGGTCTTCCTGGAGCACGTGTGATGTTACTTATAGGAGATCCAGAACCCGAGAATGCAACAACCCTGCCCCCCAGCAAGGAGGGAAACCCTGTGAGGGCGAGAAGCGGCAAGAGGAGCACTGCACGTTTTCAATCATGGAGAACGAGTAGGGATGCGTGATGGGGAATGTTTATTTTCTTACTGCTGAGTAAAGAATCAGAATTTTACCTATTCCAACACAGTGTATTAGTGGGGTATTGGTGGATCTGGTGCTACCCATTCCTCTCTAATGTTTTCTCACTTGTATATATATGCATACACATACACATGTAAATGGTTTGTATATATACACACACACACATTTGTTACATTATACACACATATTTACTTTTCCCTTTTAGTGGACAGCCATGTGTCAGTGATGATGAAGAAGTGAGAGAAATAGACCTCCCTGAGACAGAATCAGATTCCGGGTGTCCTCGGCCAGTTCCTCCGGAAAATGGATTTATCCGGGTAGGCATCCTGACCTTCACTTCAAGTTTGGAATCCAAAAGATAGAATTTAAAAAATATGCATTTTCTTTTATTTAAGGTTATTGTTTTCCCAGTTTAATCATCTTCCGTTGACTTAAAAATTAATACTTAAAAACTCTCTACCACGCCTCTGTCTTGAATTCCCTGGAGAGGTCTTCACACCTGGTTGTTAGACCAAAGACAGCAGGTTGCCTGCATTTCTTGGTGCTACCGGTTCCTAAGCTAAGGGTCCACTTATGTGAGTGGAAAGTGGAGCTTGGCCACAATATAGTTTCGGATGACTTGTGAGAATCTGAAGATCTGACGGTTTATTTCTGAGTCTGAGCATGTTTTCAGAGAAGCAACCTAGTCACAGGAGGTGTGGAATCTGTAATGCCTTAGGTTAGAAACCTGTAGAATTCTTAAGCAGTCAGTGTGGTTTTAATACCTTTTAATTTTATCTTTTTTCATTGAGCCACAATGTTTCTATGATTTACAATAACTAAATATGTTTGTCAGACAGGTCAGTGGTTTTAGATATAAATTAGAGACATATAATATTTAAAATTGATCACAGAAGGCAGGCTTCTAATCAATTTTACCTTTAAAAAAATTTTTTTTAGCGTTCTTTAACTCAGTGAAGCCTTTAAATTAATCTTTTTCAACTGTATCATATTTATGATCAAAGATCAATAACCCTCAATTCTCCAATGCCAGCAAATTAATATCTATGGAGCATAGTCCGGGCTAATGTCCCTTCCGTATTCGTCTTCTGCCTAAAGATTTTAAGGGGAGGAAATATTTTGGAGTGAGGTAATGTCATTTAGTCCTTAGAACACAGATTCCCAAACTCTACAGTGCACTGGAGGGCTTGTTAAAACACGGATTGCTGGGTCTCATGCCAGGAGTTTCTGATCCAACAAGTCCTGGGCAGGGTCCGGAAACTGCCCTATCTAACGCGTTCCCAGGTCATACTGTTGCTGCTTGGTCCAGAGCCGCGCTGTGGGAAAGAGTCCTTTAGAAGAGGGGTCAGCAAACTATGGCCCACAGGCCAAATCTGGCCTGCCATCTGTTTTCCTTTCTTTCCTTCTTTTTTTAACAAAGTCTCATTGGAATACAATCACACTCATTTACTTACGTATTATCTATGGTGGCGGAGGTGAGGGGTCACAGCTCTGGGCTACGGAGGCCCCTTATAGAGGAGCTGTGCTAGTCCCTGGCCTAGAGCATAATCCTCAAAATCACATTTGGTCAGGTCCAAGTAATTTTTTAACCTGTTTTTGCCGGCAGTTTCACAAAAACTGTTAAAATGATCAACATTCTAATTTTAAAAGCACACAAAGGGTTTAAGCAGTGATTCATTATTCGAATGACTCTTTTTTATAAAATTAGATGATCTGTTTCCCTTCCTATGAATAAGTTTACTTTTTGTTCTCTTTTGCTTCTTTATTAAAGACCTAATCTCTACTGACAGTAGTTTTTACTCACAAGTGATACAACTTGGATCTTTCCTAATGAGCACCTTCTGGGATTGCAAGTAGCAAAATACCCCTTGTTCCCAGACCGAGGCAGCTATGCCTCATTCTAGGCTAGAGCAACCGTGTCATTGCCCAGGAAGGTACTTGTCCATCCCTGTTGGCAAGCAACGGTGACTTTAGGTAAAGTTTCCTTGCTCGGTCAGTCTAGCAGATGTGTTGGTGGAAGCGTGATGGTTGCAACGTGCACTTACAGGTTACAGCCTCATAAGATAAATAGAAGCAGAAGCTTAGGAACATCATTTATTTGGGGAGGAATGCAAGAAGAAATGTGCAGCCTTTGAATAAAACATCGAAATCGTTAATGCTACTCATTAGTCCATTTCCCTTAGAAACAAAGCCACAGCCGTAATAACCAATCGTAGAATAATCTTTCTGTAGTCAGGAAATTAATCATCTTCCAGGAGACAAGCTGAACTGTGTGGCCAAGTAATAACAAAAGTTGACAATCGAGTTGTTTTTTTTTTCCACCTCCCTCAAAATTTGTGATTTCGGTTCACAGAGAATAACTTCCTAGTCAATTCTTTGCAATTTTCTTCCACTCAGTAAGGAAAAAGACTGTTATATTACTGCCCCCTAAGAAGGATAGTGTTTTGCATTCTTTCAACAGAGTTATTAAGCCTTTGTAAAGATGTGTGAGGCAGAAATCTTCCAGTGGTGGTGCCACTCATGGGTGGGGAATGAAACTGCAGGGTAGCACACATTATAAAAATAGGGCTTTGTACCAGTTTCCCCCAGAACTGAGAGAATGGTGCATCTCAGGAAGCTGGGGAAGTGAAGGTTCTCACAGAGGAAATTCTATTTGAGTTGGGTCCTGAGAGAAGGGAAGACAGAAGGTGTGGAGCATAGAGGGAACAACCCGATAAAGACATGATGGCATGAGCGAGAATATTACGTTCAAAGAATGGCAGATGGTTTTGTTCTGTGAGGGGTAGGTTTTACAGGAGCAAATGGTGAGAGGTGAGGATGGTAAAATGGGTTAACTCTAATACTCCACACTAAGAAGTGTGAAACCCATTTTATCTTGAAGATTTTAGTGAACTCCTACATGACAGTAGTTGTACTTTAATTACACATAACTGGGAAAATATATAATGACCCCTGGGTTACTAGGAATTGAGTAACATTTTTTTAAAATTTTATTATATTATGTTAATTACCATACATTACATCATTAGTTTTTGATGTAGTGTTCCGTGATTCATTGTTTGCGTATAACATCCATTCAATACCTGCCCTCTTTAATACCTATCACTGGGCTAACCCATCCCCCCACCCCCCTCCCCTCTAGAACCCTCAGTCTGTTTCTCAGAGTCCATAGTTTGAGTAACACTTTTAAATGATTTGTAGTCAATTAGCCCCACAGCAAATCCCTGTATTTTCTGCATATATAGAATATATTATTTTATCAGTTTATAACCACTATAGGGGAAGTATATAGGTTTTTAATTTTTGCAGTAATAGGCCATGCCATATCCAGTGGGGAGGAAGTTTCTAAGCAAAAACAAAAACAAACAAACAAAAAATCTTAATCAATTTAGAGCAGCAATATGGAAGGTGGATTAGAAGAGGGCCCAGTTAGAAAGTTGTGCTTGTAAGAGATCATAAATGCCATGAACAAAGGCAGTGATGATGGCAAAGGAAAAGAGAGAACTTTGAGTGATGTTTAGAAGTAGAAATTGAGAGGAGCCCTGTGACTGAGTAGATCCAGGAGTGAAGGAATGGGAAGAATCCAGGACTACCCCGAGGTGTTTAGGGATATCGTTTGTGGCATTGATAATTTGTTGGTTTCTGCTTTAATTCTAGAATGAGAAGAAACTGTACTCAGTTGGGGAAGAAGTTGAAATCTCATGCTTTACTGGATTCACAACTATTGGATACCAGTACTTCAGATGTTTACCAGACAGGACCTGGAGGCGAGGAGATGTGGAATGCCAACGTGAGACGCGGGCAGACTTTTTGCATGACTGCTCTAAAGAATGAATGTGCCCCATATAACTAGAGCAAAATCCCACCCTCAGATCACTACTTTGTATGATTTTTTCGTAACTCTGGTGAAAAGGTCTAGCGAAGCAGAATAGGATTCATCTGGTAAAATTCAATTTCAAAATGTCTTCCTATTTCAGTTCTCATGCCCCTGTATCTTAGCTTCATAGACGCAGGACTACAAAGCATGTGCTTACAAAGAAATCCCAAAAGTCAGCTAACTACATCGAACCTCAGACCTCTGCCTTGCCTGGTGTCCAAATTCATGCAAATTGATGAGTCCCAAGAAAATGATACTTACACTCTTTATGAATCAGAAATGGGATTTTATGTGAAATGCAGCTTTCTCCTTAGAGCGTGTTCACATCCTTTACTAAGGAAGAGAGGAGAAGTTTGTAGGCTCCACACAGATCCATTTGTAGGCTACAGTAAAGTCAAAATAAGATTCCCAGAAGGCTCAAGTAGGGACCCCAAAGAGTTATTAGGGAGCCCCATGAAGCAGAGTTGAGACCAGTGTCAATTAGGACGTCTGCCTCTGGTCATCCACATTGTGGTGGCTTGCTCTTGGGAACACACACTGGGGAGAAGAGGGGAAAAAATATGTCCTGAAAGGAAAAAGTCCCAATAATGTAATGAAAGTGGGAAGTTTCTGGAGTGACTTCCTTAGCAAGGGAACCTCAGATAATGGAACTAAAGGGAGTGTCACAGTGGAGGAGTCTCTCAGGGGAAGCCTGGGATAACTCTACCCCCCCACCCCCAGTTTTCTGATCAAAACGTGGCATTAAAGCTTCACCCATGCAGTAAGTCGCATTAAAATCACCTCTTGGGCTGCCTAAAGTCTGCTTATATATGTTGAGTATTCTGCTCCACTAAGCAAATCCAAAATGTTTCTCTGCCTCCAGAGACCCAGTGCCTCAAGCCGGTTGTGCAGGAAGTTCTAACGATCTCACCATTTCAGAGATCATATGGAATTGGTGAATCCATTGAGCTAACCTGCCCCAAAGGCTTTGCTGTTGCTGGGCCATCAAGGTACACATGCAGTGAGGACTCCTGGACACCGCCCATTTCAAACTCACTCACCTGTGAGAAAGGTGAGTAGCAGCTCAGGATTCTGGGGTCTGCTAAGATGGTGCCCCCCAAGATTGGTGGCATAGCATCCACAGTGGTGCTATTTCCTGAGTGTGTTTTGGGAGGAGAAAGCAGAAGATTCCACTAAGGGCTGGGTTTTATATTTCAACCTGTGTCATGATGAGGTCAGATAGCAAATAAGAAGTTATTGGTCAGGTAGATATCTTCAAACTTTAGAGAGTGAGGTCAATTTTCTTTTTTAATAGATGCTTCAATATTTGAATTTAACATCTAACAAAATGAGAATTTTTTTAAAAGATCTTATTTATTTATTTGATAGAGAAGAAGAGAGAGCGAGCACAAGCAAGGGGAGCGGCAGGCAGAGAGAGAGGGAGAAGTAGACTTCCACTGAGCAGGGAGCCCCACGTAGGGCTTCATCCCAGGACCCTGGGATCATGACCTGAGCCAAAGGCAGGCACTTAACCGACTGAGTCACCCAGGCGCCCTAATAAAATCAGAATTAATGGTAAACTGAAAATGTGGTTAAAGTGGAGAGCCATAAAAAGAGTAATGCATACTAGTTTTTAACTACCTAAGCATTTTGTTTTAACTTAAAATATAGAAATGCACGATTATTCACTCATTTTCCAATGTAGGACCAAGCTCTTATTTTCTAAAGAGTCTTCTGTTTGAGTTCCAAGACTTCTTCCTCAAATAAAACAAATGCATAATTCATCATCTATGTTATCCCATATCAGTTCCTCTAAAACAATATTTTTTTAACTCCAGATGGGGCACTTCTTTTAAAAATCACCTCTGCTTAGGTCCCATCCCGCAATTCTGATGTCATTGAGTTGGGGAGGGCCTGGTATTTGGTGTTTGTTTAAAATCTCTTCTAGCTAACCAGAATGCATGCAGAGTTGAGAACCATTGTTTTGAAGAGAGGTAAAAACTTAAAGGCACTTTTGAAACAAGTTGACTAGAGAAGGCTTCTAAATTTATATATATATATTATATATTTCATATATATGAAATATATATATTTTTATCACATATATATTTCATATTATATATTTATATATAATATATATTATATAAAATTATATTATATTATATTTATATATTATATAATATATATATTTATCACATATATATTTTATCACATATATATTTCATATTATATATTTCATAATCTTTTACAGTAGTCTTATCCCCAGTTAAAGCAAAATTTTTGCAAATCACTTTTAATTGTTCAAAATTCTCAACTTTCTATAAAAAGAACTCCTTCTTTCTTCCTTTATTTTATCACTTGCTGTAGTTAATCAATTTTCACAGTTACAGTAACAACCAGCATATATAGATTAGGAGACACACGCACTGATAAACCTGTAGCTCTGCTGGTGGGGGCAGAAACGTGAGGCTGTAAAAGAGAGTGTTGCCAAAAGAGACTGCAAGAGCCTCTTGGTCTCTTCTTGGTCTCTTGGTCTCATAACAAGAAAGAATTCAAGGACAGACCAGAGGAGCAGATGAGCGGTGTGGGCAAGTTTATTAAAGCGAAAGTCCACTCTCAGAGGAAGAACGGGCAGACTCCAGCGAGCAACTGCCCTGGATTTCTTCTGTTTACAAGCTTGTATTGTATTTTGAGTAATTGGAGGAGGAATATTCATTGCAGTAGGTGGGATCTTTCTGGGTGGCAGCCTGCTTTATCCAGGAATCCAGGTACCACCCCTTTCCTTTCCTTATTTGGATTGATCAGAACTGTCACGGTGATTTTAGGGGCCAAGATCTTTCAAAACTACAATGTAAATGGTATAATGAGAGAAAAGTCATCTGAAGATACCGCATAACCTCAGCTTGCTGTTGCCCTAGGATTTCCTCACCACAACAACACCTCACTCCCCTTTGATGCCTAACAGGTGCCTTTCTCCTCCATCCCTGTCCTGCTCATTACTGTCTCACTGCCTACTCTAACCAGAGGAGCCCACAAACCTGGAAGGTCAACATCAGGCAACTGCCATAGAGAGGCTGGAGAAAACAGTCTGGCGAGTCAGTAACTTGGAAGACAGTTAAGGGCTTCCACTAATTCATATCTTCCAACTTTTTCAGCATGCTTTTTCAAGGCAGGTCTCATTTTTATTGAGAGAATCCTGGGAGATGTGTCTGAGATCAGATATGATTAGGCCCATTTTGCTTCTGCAAAAGCAGAAGGTATAGAGAGCCTAAGTTAAACCCAAGGTCGGGCAGTTTGGGTCAACGAGAACACTGAACAACAGCTGTACTCCTTCCCCAAGTTCACTGCCATCTGGCCTTCCATACCCTCTTCTAGGCTATCATAATGCATGAAGAAAAGGGGAAAATTTTAACCTATTAAAATAACCTTAAAACTCTTGATAAAGAGGTATCATGGAAATTTGTGACAATTTCAAGTTGATATTGTGGCTGGATTTCACTTGACCCCTGATTGGGGCGGTGGGGGGTGGGAACCACAAGCTCCTGTCAGTTAAAATACTCTGGGCATCTTAGGTAGTATCTTCTCTATACAAATAACAGCACTGTCCACACACACACACACACACACACACACCCATGATTTTGTTTGGAGAAGAAATTGAAATTATAATCCAATCTGAAAGAGAATGAGATGTTCTATATCCAGATAGAGTAAATAAACATCCTATCTCATATATTTTCTCTCCAACAACATTGGCAAAAAGATCAATGAGGGGAATCAGAAAGAGAGAGAAAATCATCAATAAAACTGACCACTCTTTCCTCTCAATGTGTGGGAGCTGTGAGACAGACAAAGAGGCTTTCAGGCCATCCTTAGTTAGGAAAAGATTTTTAATTATTTCAACATGAAAAAGGTCTGGCTTCCTGAGGAGATGAGATGGTACATGCCTCCATGGTTACTTTTTCCTCCTCCGAGAAACTGACACCTCCCGAAGATCCCCTCGACCCCAGCACTCCAAAGATCACAATGTTCTCATTTCCATGTCCTTCCCTGACTGTGCCGGGTGGTATGGGCAGCTGACAGCCGGTTCTGACTTCCACCTGACACACTGGAGGGGGCAGGCTCCTTGCATGTGATCATTGACAACTTCCCATCAGTAGTGCCAAGTGCTTGAAAGTTGGTTCTCTTTGGAAACAATGTACAGCTGGGGGTCCTTCCCTGACCTAAGTGTGGATTTATTTCCGAAGCGCAAAGAGGTATAGCTCTACAACAAAGGAAAATAATCCCATGTCAGTGGAAAAGCTTAGTATCTGAGGCCTTCCCAGCAGCTGTAGGTCTCCATGTTCAGGAAAGTTATGGGCCCGATTTCGCCAGAAGGAATAAGGTTCCTGACAGAGAATGAGAGTAGGAAATGCTATGGAATTCATTGCTATGAAGAAAACCTGCCAATTTTTAAAATCGTTATTTTTGCCTCTAACATAAACCTCCTTCCCTCATCAAACCTTCTGCCTGGTAGGCTAAAAGGAGCAACCGTGAGCTTGGCCTCCTGTTCAGCCATTTAACGTGGCAGAATATCTAGCTATAGCTGCCTACTGCCATCCTTCGATGATTACTTGCTTCCGGAAGCCCATTGTGATTCTGTGGATTAGTCAGATTCAGTCCTGGGAAGTTTGTTTCATGCAATAGGCTCAGGAAGTCAGCTCTAGGTCCAGTTCAACCAGTCTAAATGTCCTCTGGATGGATCTTCATGTAAGCCAAGACAACCAAGACTTCCCCATCCATATAATATACCCAAGTGTTACTCCCTCTACTTTAATCTCCGTTGCTCACATACACACTATTGAGTTGCTTGTCTTAGATCAAGCCTCATTTCCTCGTGGATCTTTCCTCATATTTCTCAGTTGGGGTCTTTTGTTATATAGTCTCTGGAACCATGTTCCCTTTCTTCAAAATACCTATCATGGCCAAAACCATTACTACTGGGGCCCCTGGGTGGCTCAGTCGTTGGGCGTCTGCCTTCGGCTCAGGTCATGATCCCAGGGTCCTGGGATCGAGCCCCGCATTGGGCTCCCTGCTCCACCGGGAGCCTGCTTCTCCCTCTCCCACTCCCCCTGCTTGTGTTCCGTCTCTCGCTGTGTCTCTCTCTGTCAAATAAATAAAATCTTAAAAAAAAAAAAAAACCATTACTATGATTATTTGATTGATGTCTGTTTTCACAATGTCCTTTACATTCATGCAAAACAAGGGACCACTCTTGTTTTCATTCTTTCTATGTTTTTTTTCCCACCATAACATACTAGTGCCTAGAATATCATGCAGGGATAAACAGCTCCATTTAGGAGTTGCATTACTCCATGGATTCTTCTTGTAAGAAAATCTGACTTTCGAGGCATTAGCCCAAAAGAACAATTTTCACCATCGTCACTGACATCTGTACTGCTAAAAGTAATGGATATTATTTTATCCTCATCTCCTTTGACCTCTTAGGAACATCCAACAGTGCTGACCTTCCTCTTATTCTTTCTGTGGCTCCCAGTATACGACATCATCTTGTTTAGCTTCCACCTCTCTGGCTGTTGCTCTCTGTTTTTGGCAGCCTCCTGCCTGTGCTTGGACGTTAAATGTTGGAGTTCTTCAGGCTCATATCTGTCCCCTCACCTTATGCTACATTTTCCTGCTGGCATCAAGGAGTCCCCAAAGAATAATAACAAATTTAATTCATTAGCACAGACTTCTCCGCTGAGCTTAAACCCAAATAGCCACATTTTTATGTATCTGTTTTGATCTAGTTTGTTTGAGTGTCTTCAAGATACCATAAATTTAGGAATGCCTGGGTGGCTCAGTCAGTTAAGCTCTGCCTTCCGCTCAGGTCATGATCCCATGATCAAGTCCCACAGTGGGCTCCTTTCGTAGCAAAGAGCCTACTTCTCCCTCTACCTGCTGCTCCCCCTGTTTGTGCACTCTGTCTCTCAAATAAATTAATTAATTAAATAAAATCTTTTTTAAAAAAGAAATTAAAGATACCATAAATTTAACATATGCAGAGAAGAACTCTTGAGTCATTACCCTTGCCTCCCTAAAACTAAGCATCTTATAATATTTTCTATTTCAGTTAAGGCACCAAAGTCTATTGTCTAATGCAAGCCAGAAACCTAAGAATCATACTTTGCAGCTCTCACAGCTTACCCACAATATGCAATTTCATCCATTTAACCTGCTAAATATGTCAGCCTTATCTACTTCTCTCCATTTCCAACTCAACATTTTGGTCCAAATTACCATCCTCTCTCACCTGAACTACTATAATCATCTCATAGATTGTCTACCCATAGCCTTCTTGGCCACCGTGCCTCTTCAGCAAATCCATTCTCCACACAGAAGCCAGAATTAATTTCTTTTTCAGAATCCAGGCCTGATTTTGTCCTATGACCCCCTGTTTAAAACCCACTGAAGACTTTTCATTGTTTATAAAATAAAGGCAAAAATCTTTCAAAAGCGCTGTAAGCCCCCACACAGCCTGACACACACTCACCTCTCTGGCCTCATCTTGTTCCATGCTCTTGTTTTTCTGCACTTAAACCACACGGGCCTTCTTGCAGTTCCAGGAAAATCACATGCTGCCTCTCTTTTGAACTTCCACGCCTGATGGTTCCTCTGCTGCAAACATTTTCCCTTTCTTCTTTCCATTTTCCCAGTCCTAGCCTTCCTCACGACGTCAGTTTTCTTGATTATATGCTTTCTCTCTAATAGCACGAATAACATGAGCAATTCTATTTGTATGCGTGTGTTTGATTAATGTCACTCTGCCCTTACAAAACTCTGAGCTCTGTGAGCATAGAATCTGGGTGAAATTTTACTCAATCCACTATTTCCAGAACCTAACACAGTGCTGAGAGTATCTTAGTCGCCCAGTAAATATTTGAAGAACAAATGAACAGAAATTTCACCAATCCCATTCTCTTCAGTTCTCTGAACTTAACAGCAATTTTAGGTTGGAAAATGACAGCTCATGAGAGCTAGAAAGGACTTTTCAGATGGAATACTTCATGACAGCATATTTGGAAAAGGCAAAATGAATGCCCGGACTGCAGGTGATAAGTGAGAACTTTTCACCACTGCCTTTCCTCCTAAGTCCAAACTTGCCACTTGGAATACATGCTGTGCACTCTTCTTTACCCCTTTTCTTTCGTTTCAGATGTTTTGACAAAATTAAAGGGCCGTTGTCAACCAGGACAAAAACAGTTGGGATCTGAATGCATTTGCATGTCTCCAGAAGAAGACTGTAGGTGAGAGATGCTCTATGGACTGTATTTGGAAAATGGGAAAACCAGTCTAGTGTAACCAGCTTGACAGAGGAGCTGAGCTTCTTGGAGCACAAACACGAAACATATTAATTTTTCACATAACTAATACCCCCTGTGCTGTGTTGATTTCTTCCCCACAGGGTAGCAAGCTTTCTTAATTATCTCTCAGCCCCATTCCCTAAGTTTGCATGGCATTTGTTTATCAAGAAACTTTCAGTTTTGTTCATGAAGACCTATTCCTGTCCATAATGGGTTCTGAACCCATTATCTCAAAGCCTTCCTCTTCCCCCTACACACAGGGCAAGGTTATGACTCCAAAAGCTTAGAATAGAGACAGCAGTATGAGCACAGACTTCACACATATACACACCCCTTTGTCAGTTTATTTTTTCATGCTGGGGTAGAGAGAATGAAGAATGAAAATGATACATCCCCCTGTGACTGCCATGACTAGACAGCTATCTCCTTTTTGTTGTTCTAACTGCCTTATATTTTTTTAAGTAATCTCTACACCCAATGTGGGGATCAAACTCACAACCCCGAGATCAAGAGTCACATGTTCTTCTGACTGAGCCAGCCAGGCGCCCCTAACTGCATTTTCTTTATGTGAACAAACTGAGGACAGTCAAGGGTGCTTCTTAATTTAAGGGCTACTTGCAATTGAATTTAATTCAAAACGTGTTAGCTGAAGATAAAATTTTGTTTCTCTATCTCACAAAATAAATGCAGAGGTAGGCAATCTAGGGCTAGTATGGCGACTCTCTCATTGCAGGTAGGACTGAGGCTCATTACTGCTCTTGTTCTACCGTCCTTAAAGTTATTTCATGGTCCGAGATCGCACTGCAGGAGCAGGAAGGGAGAAGATCAACAATGGACATTTTCCCTCTTTTTAAGGCGAATTCTTGTAAGACCCTTCACTCACTTCCATCTCATTAACCTTTGCTTATCCATAAGGCCACATGTACTTTCAAGGGAGGCTATGAAGTGCAGTTCTTTGGCTGGATGCATAGGCCCTATGAATAAAGTTAGAGTCCTGTGACTGAGGAGGAGAAAGACTGAACATTGGGATAGGAAGACAACAGACTGTGCCCAGTTGTTACCCTTCACTTTTAACACTAAGTAACTCTCACGTTCCTCCGTGCTGCAGGGGAACAAACACTTATAGGGACTTCTTACTTATTTAGGAAAACTCTAGGGTATTTTTCCGTATAATTCCACAAATATAATTCAGCACAAAGGTGGTCCTCTCTACACCCCTCAGTCTTCACCAGAAGTGGTCCTCCGTGAAACTTCTTGCTGCTGGAGTCTCCTCATCCAGGCCTTCTGGGGAACGTGAAACACTCATAGTGCCCATTTAACGCAGAGGGAACCTTTATCTTTGCAATACCAAATTGTGAGAATGCAGACTGTCCTCTGGAACTGAGTTTCAGCTCTTCCCTACCTCTCTAGCCTCTTTCTGTAGTCCTCAGTTCTCCTTTACACAGCATTGAAGGTGTTTGTGAGAAGCAATTGGCCCCACAGCTTAAGTTCTCTGCACATAGAGAGAGGCCTTTACTTCCTGGAGATAAATTTACACACTGATGCCCTGATTGTGAACTCTAAAACTGACATCTGAGAAGAAACTCAAATTTAGAATAATCAAGGACCTTTTATCCTCTCAGCAAAAGAAGGACTGTGGCCACTGGTTACCTCTTGGGAGCAGGACCCATCATCTACTTAGGGAGATTAAGCAAGTTACCCAGGGAATGACATAAAAGCTCATGCACTCAATCACAGTACATTTGCAAAGCTATGTAATGATATAAGACTGTAGTGTTGCGATTACTGAGTATTACAGAGTTCTCAGGCAGTACAGACTACATGGACCAGTTTGACCAGGGGTTAGCTTCAAAGTGTAGCCAGGAATTGAACTGGACACACATAGGCAGAGAAGAAAGACAATGCAAAGATGATTGAGTAGAGCATGGGATGCCAGCAAAGGAGAAGTAATCTTATAATTTTCAAAAATTATTAATACAATTGTCAGGTGATAGAGATTAGGAAGGAAAGGGAAATAATTCTAGAAAGGAAAGTTAATTGGAGTCAAATTGTGGAGGATCTTGATTACCAGAATTTTAGAATTCAGACTCTGATTCAAAGACAATTGGGAAAGACCAAGATTAAGATGAAATTTTAGAAACATGAACTGCAGAGCATGTAAAATGAGATGAAGAACTGAAAGAAGAGAAGCTGGGGGCAGGGGGGAGCGGGGGAAGAAAACTGGGTGGTAAGTTTACATATTATATTGACTGCCTGCCATCTCTTTTTTTCTAGTCTTCATATATAAATATTTGCTTTCCTCTCTTGGGCAGCCATTATTCAGAAGATCTCTGTGTGTTTGATACAGACACGAGCCATTACTTTACTTCATCTGCTTGTAAGTTTTTGGCAGAGAAATGTTTAAATAATCAGCAACTCCATTTTCTACATATTGGCTCCTGCCAAGATGGTCCACAGCTAGAATGGGGTCTTGAGAGGAGAAAACTTTCATCCAATAGCACAAAGAAAGAATCCTGTGGCTATGATACCTGCTACGACTGGGAAAAATGTTCAGGTAAGCTCCAGTGGTGACCACGTACTAGAAATGCTCACACATAACCTTCATCGCAGCTAGTTCATCTTATTTGTGTTTATACTCTTTCTAAAAACAAAATAAAACAAAAACCTTAATCAAAAATAATTCCTTTACATCGTAAAAAATTTTATAAAGTTATTTAAATAGAAAGGAAAAAACATAACCCACCCACTGTTAGAAATAACTACTTTCATAATTTTAGGGTGAATCTTCCTAATTATTTTTCAATGCATATACAATCAGTACTAGCCTTAGACTCCAGTAGAAAATCACCTGTCCCAGTCTCATACTTCAGGCACCATTCCCCACCCCCAGCTTTGGAGGGCCTTCATCAGAATTGTCTAAGTTTTCCTCTGGCATTTGGGACTGGCTAGGACAATGTAGCTAGAGTGCCCTGAGCCTAAACTGAATTCCTCATGGATACTAATTGCCAGAAGCATCTTCTTCAAAATTTTTTAAGTCCTCTTGCAGTGCCTGGGACTAGCCAAGGCTGGCAGTGTTAATCAGGTAGGATACTCTGAGCCCAGACTGGGGTTTCTCATGGGCTCAGGCACTGTTTCTCCCTTGTGGAACATTCTCTGACCTTATACTCCTTCTCTTTCACCATGCATGGGGTCAACAAACTGCTCCAAAGAGCTCCGGGTCTCATGCCTGTAGAGTCATCCATGGCTCAGAGCCAGACCCTCAATTCTCAGAAAGCAGCCTGGTGAGCCACCAGCCAGCAGGGTATTCTTTGCCAAGATTGCTTGAGATTGGACTGCTAGTATGGTGCTGACACTCTAATTCAGAGTGACTGTACTTGTTTATATAGAGAGGTATCTCATTTAAAAAAAAAATTTCCAGGGTCTTATATATCTCAGGGGTGGCCCTGATTATATTACAATTTTTTTTAAAAAAGTATCATCCTTTACATCTTATTTTACATATTGCTGTTTTCATTAATATATCATGAAACTATTTTCATGTCATTATATATTACTCTGCTACATAATTTTCAATGTCTGCCAAAGCCTATTGGACATTCTGTAATTTATTTCACTAATCGTCTGTTAAGTGTTTAGATTTTTCCCAATATTTTGCTATTACAAACAGTGCTGTAATAGACAAATCTATCACGCATAAATCTTTAATCTAAGATTATATCCTTAGGATATACCTTAGAAAATGAAATTTCTAGGTAAATATTATTTCCAAATATAAAGTCTTTGTTGGTACTGTGTATCAACTTGCTTTCCAGAAATGTTTTTACCATATTATATTTCCTATCTACAATGTATAATTAAAACCGCCTTCCATACTTTCACCAATGCTTGGAGTAATTACTCCTTTATTTCTCTGTCAATTTGATACTCAGGAAGTGGCATTACATTTCTATTTTCTGTAAGTTGCCCAATTCTGATCAGTATCAAATCATCTCATAGCTAAACTCTACTACTCATTTTTCGTTGCCGGACCAACACCATTACCCAACTGACATGTCTCTTAGAAATAATATTTGTGGGGGGCGCCTGGGTGGCTCAGTTGGTTAAGTGACTGCCTTCGGCTCAGGTCCTGATCCTGGAGTCTCGGGATCGAGTCCCGCATCGGGCTCCCTGCTCAGCGGGGAGCCTGCTTTTCCCTCTGACCCTCCCCCCTCTCATGCTCTCTCTATCTCATTCTCTCTCTCAAATAAATAAATAAAATCTTTAAAAAAAAAAAAAAGAAAGAATATTTGTGGTAGAAAAGAGCTGAAAGTATTATGGAATATCATTTTGTATTTAAAATATAAATTTTTTCTTTGAAAATTGTAGTGTAGGAACATTATTGTCAAAAATGCACACAGAAGATAAAAGGAAACAGGATAAAATGGTCCCTGTCTGTGCTATAATAGGTAGATCAGGTATTTGGGGATGTATTTAGTTTTAGTTTCCATCCTTCCATATTTATCATGGAGAAAAGATCTTCATGGAACCTTCTATAGCAAAGAGTTTTTTTCGCTATTTTTCCACAAGTTATTCTTTTCAGATCTGTCTGAGTAGCAAATAATTTCTAGCTTACAATTTCATCAAAATCTGCCTTTACTATTAGCTCTTTGCTGTACATATATCTAAATCCTACAGTCTCCAGGAGTCTAAGTTCGTCTTAAAAAAGAACACTGAAAAGTCTGAATATTTAATCAATATTGCTCAAGTTAGCAGAATGTCTTGGGGTAGTCAAACTAATATGTGAACATTTTGTAATAAGAGATTTAAGTCATTTAAAAGATTCTTTGATCCTGCACACAATCAGAACACTGAAAGCATTTTTCCCCCTAAAGGTATGGTCTGCCTGGGCCAGTCTTCTCTAATTGGTGAGCAAAAGTCAATGTCACAGAGAAGTCTGTTCAGTAGCACTACAGAAGAGCATCAGTGTACAAATCACAGCATTTATGAAGAAAGAGAAAGCTAGAAATGAATTTTGTACCCAACCCACTCATGGCAAGTTGGGATATTATTAATTTTGAGCTGAATTGAAGGTCACCTTGGTTAAACTGTGTTCTTGATTACATTGCGTACTTTATACTCTTTTCCTTCTCTATCTAAAATGAAATAAGAGAAAGTTTAAAATGGAACTTCAAAATAACATTAAGTTCACTTTTCAAAAGTTAGAACACGAATGGCTTCTTAAGGAGCCTATTTTTATGGACACTGAATGCTTTGCCTAAATTTCAAAAATATCCACCATCAACTAATAGAAGGGGGAAATTTATTCAGCACACATCCATTTAGTATCCAAGATGTGGAAGTCACTGTACAAGGTATGATGAAGACTCTGAAGATAAAGGAGATGTGTACCTTCCAATTGTTCATAGTAACTGAAGGAGTAACTTTTCATGATAATTGCATGAATAACTTTAATACAAGCCAGTATGTAATAAGAACTGTGAGAGAGATAAAAAATCTTCTGGCCTGGAAGGGTTTCATAAGGATGGTAGCATGAGAATTGAGTGCTGAAGGATGCATTAGTAGAGGTGGTGGGAAGGGCCTTTTGGTGCTGGTAGTCTAAAAATAATCTTGCTAAGAGCATTTAAGCCATAACCATCCTAAAAGAATGGTGACCATGGCCTTTCCAAAAGCCCAGGGAGTGGACATCCTCTCCAGAGGTGGAACAATCTTGTGTCCTTCACTAAACTCTGTTGTTTACAACAATGAGCAAGACCTTCCACAACTAGCATCTTCTCTAGCTGTTGACAGAGGGCTTACAAGGGAATGCATGCTCTTTCATGAAATGTTTTCTACCAAAGACAGGAAGTCCACATGCCTATGAGTATCTCCCACTTCTTTTCCCTATTTTCTCCCATTGGTTGAGACGCATGGGAAAGAACTGATATCTGCCTAAAGAAGCTATTTCTTCATGACATCATTGCTGATTCTCAGTCTGACTCAGATATTTTGGCAATAAGAATTATCCCAGATCTATCAATACATTTCTTTTTGAATACTTACACCTATATCCCAAATTCAGAATTGAAATCAACTGATGAGGTGCGTGGGTGGCTCAGTTGGTTAAGCAACTGCCTTTGGCTCAGGTCATGATCCTGGAGTCCCGGGATCAAGTCCCACATCGGGCTCCCTCCTCAGCGGGGAGTCCGCTTTTCCCTCTGACCCTCCCTCCTCTCATGCTCTCTCTCTCTCTTTCATTCTCTCTCTCTCTCAAATAAATAAAATCTTTTAAAAAATCAGTTGATGAAGCTGAATTAATTGAGCACCTCTTTAAGAGGTAAATGGGACATAGAGATGAATGAGCTCTCAAACAAACCACTTATAACTGTCTTGAGAGAAAGACATATATGAAAAGCTAACTAACAAGAAAGTATAAAAACGTCAGATATAGTACTAACAAATTTACACTATTAAAGTTTAATTAAAACTTTAGTTAAAGTTTAGTTGGTATGGGGATAAGTTCCTATGAAATGTTTCATGGAGGACGTAAGACCTATAGAAACTGGACATGTGGGGGAAAGTAGGAGGGAGCACATCAGCGTGGCAAAAGAAGGGGATAGCACGGGCAAGAGGACAAAAACTAGAACATCACTGAGGTCTTGTTTGGGAAGCAGAGAGAGACTTACTCTACCTGGAATGGAGAAAGCAGACAAAGCAGACAAAGACAACATTGCAAAGGGATTTTGAGGTCAAACTGTAGAGGACCTTGACCTTTGATTAAAATATGTATGTGTATAAATGAACCCATATCCCTTTACTCAGAATTTATTTAATATTCTTGGCTTTGGTAAGTTTATGTCAAGTAATCATTTTAAAATGATTTCATGAATGCAAGATTTATATGAATTATGAAGTGACGGGGTGGTTTTGAAACCAGGCCTCATAAAAGAATCACCCACCCAGAAATATTCTAGAAAGAAATCAGTAACTGTGGTGTAGAGTTATGTTAAAGAATTAAGGCCTATGAGTCATTTATGATCTAAAACCTGCCTCTACCACTTACTAATTGTGGAACCATGAGCCAATCACTAAAGCTCACTAATAAGCGCATGTGTAGAATGAGCATGATAACATAGAGTTTGTATGTTTGTTATGAGGATTAAATGAAATAAAGCACATAAAGCACTTGGCTTATTATGTGGCTTCATAGCATCTTCTCAACAGAAGGTAACTAAATGTTCTCGGTTGGTGCCAATGAGAAATAACAGCAAGGACAGACAGAAGACATTGCAGAAAGGGATTGACGGGACGTAGTGACTGATTGGATGTGGGCAGTGAGTAAGAGGGAGGTGTCAGAGACAGCCCAACTGCTGAATCTTACTGGCTTACCAGTGCATTCTAGTATCTTCCATCCAGATGACTCCATTCAACCACAGTTGGATCTTTTGGGTCATTGCCTTTTTTCCAGCTTTCTAATACATTGCCACCAAAGTGCCTGCTGCTCTGGGGACAAACTAGGTAAAATCAAACCCCGAGGTACTGTGGTGAGTCACACTGCCTCCCTCTCGTTTCAGCCTCTGTTTCCAAATGTGTCTGCCTGTTGCCTCCCCAGTGCTCCAAGGGTAGAAGCCAACTCTACTGCGTCAAAATGGGATCGAGTGAGAAAACAGCGAGCATCTGTGAAGTAGGAGCTATACGATGTGCCAACAGGAAAGTGGAAATACTGTATCCTGGCAGGTGTTCAGCCTAAAACAATTACTGATAAACAGATTTACTGTCCAAAAATAATTCCTACAAAAGGGCATCCTCCTATAAACAGCAGACTGGCGTGCCCAGAGGTTAGACGTGAATTCTTTTGTGTTACTTTCATATAATTATTCACCCTGCCTCTCCTGCCTTAGCCTTTCCTATCCAGTTCCAACCCATGAGGTTCTGTAGTGTACACCCAGGTAACAACTCTTTCACATCAATCCAGTAAATTCTTCTGTTCACATTGCTCTAAGATGATGGGGCTTCTGAGGACCTTATGAAGCCTATAATATTAAGCATTCTCACAAATAGAATTAAGAACAAAAACCATAACTGTCTTCAATTAATCAATAAACAGAAACCTACAACAACTTGTAAAACACATTCTTGAAACCCATCCTTTCTTCATGCACTCATTCAACAGATAATTCTGAATGTCTACAATGTGCCAAGTACTGTTTAAGATGCTGGGGAATTAGCAGTGAATAAAAAGACAAAATCCTTTGCCTTCATGAAGCCCACATTCACGTGGAGGAAGACATTCAAAAAATAAAATAAGCATATAAAATATATAGTATGTTTGATGATGATAATTGCTATGGAGAAAATAAGGCAAGAAGAGGTGAGTCCCGTCATCTTATGCCAGGAAACCCTTCATAGTAATAAACATCACAGCAAGGATGATTGGAAACAAGTGGAAATTGCTTCCCTTAAGGCAGTTACTAAACTTCTGGAGTTCCATACTCTTAGGAAAAAAGATTCTCCTTGCCTCAGCTAAAGCGCATCCCAAAGCTTTTGAGCTGAAGTATGTGATGGATGGAAAATAAAATCATCAGAAAATTGTGAAGGAATAATTTTTAAATTAAATTATGTCTTCTGTGTTAGGCCATACCAAGTAGACACTCATTTCTTAGAGAGGTTAGGGTGCCATTTTATTGGTGAAGAGGAGCATCTCTGGAACAGCAGTTCTCAATACTGATGTACATCAGACTCACCTGGAGTGCTTGCTAATTAATACACATGCCTGCAAGCTGCCCCCAGTTTCTGGTTCAGTAGGTCTGGGGCGGGGCCTGAGAATTTCTAACAACTTTCCAGGTAGTACTGATCATCAGGAGTGTCACATTTTGAAAAGAGTTTAGAAATGGAGTCATCCAACAGCTCATTCTGTTTGATTCACTAACTGATCTCAAAACCTTAGCCAGCCAATCTCCAAGCCTGCGAGTGGAAGGAGATTTCCTTCCTCTAAAACTCAATGGAATCCCACTCAGTAGAAGGGGGCGGTGACGCACAGCCACCTGCAGCACCCTCATCAGGTGTGGACACATTAAATGTCACTCCTCCTCCATCTCATTCATCATAATATGTTAGCAAAATCTAAAACATCTTGCAATATCAAAGGAGAAGTAAGAGGAAGGAAAAAAACCTAGGAACAGAAACATTTTCCTGGTGTAACAACAATTGAGTGGGAATTTTTATTTTCCCAGGAGTCAGTAACCCATCTTTTCCGGTCATGCCATCCCCTCCCATCTCACAAAAGTGGTGCCATCTTGTCAGCATCATGCCTGCAGCACTCCCAAGACAAAGAGTGAGGGCAAAGAGGCACGGCCCCTTCCACTAGGTGGGAATCCCATTGAGTTTTAGAGGAAGGAAATCTCCTTCCACTCACAGGCTTGGAGATTGGCTGGTTAAGGTTTTGAGATCAGTTAGTAATTCAAATCTGAGAGCAAAAAGGCATTCAGTACTCCCATGTCCTCAACTGAATCAAGAATCTTTCCTCAGGACTGAGTTGGAGCTTCTCTCCCCAGATCTTACACCTGCCCCACATCTTTCTGGGGGGCCAGGGGAAGAGGGAGGGAGGCCATGGGAACCCACAGCCAAGTGTTCAGTGTTCATAGAGAGAGTCCTATTCTCTGCCTAAGTCCTTTCCCTCCCCTCCGTGAGAAGGAGGAGGATACAAAAAGTATCCACCAAAGCCAGGCAACTGAAGCCCCGGGAGAATCTTCTGTAGGGTGTGGGGCACCAGCAACAAGTATACGGGTGCTGCCCCTGGCTGGCTGGTGGGATGCTTGTGCAGTCTTCGAGCTGACGCCTGTGAGCAGGTTGCAGGAGGAGTCTCTAGAAGGTGTGCATCCTGATGAGGGTGGGTGTGGAGGGTTCTCCCTTCCTGAGCATGAGACCACTTCCTGCCTAGAGGGTGCTGAAGGCAGGGTGTTTTTGATAGAGGCCCTCACCATTTTCACAGAGGGCATGACTAGGTTTCTCCATCGGAGTCCCAAGACATAGAGATTAGAGGATGTTGGTGGTTCTCGTGGATCCTCAGGAAGGACACAGAGAAGAGGAACGACAGTCACTCTGAGGCCATTCTGCATCTTGGACACGATTCTGTGGAAAGCACCAAAAGGAGACATGGTAGACTCTAGCTCATGGGAAGTTCTGGGGACCTGAGCAGGTAGGAGTAAAACAAAACACCAAACGAAGGAAACATAGAGGTCGCCTTAACAGAAAGAACGAGTCAAAGGTGACACCCCATCATTGACTGTTAAAGCAAACAACCCTTGCCATTTATCCTAGTCCACTTCCTTGCTTCCAGCACCAGAACCCAGCCCCAGCAAATGGAGGGCATGTCCCAGAATGAGACCTGCCTCTCCCCATCACCTCTAGGAGGGGTTGGAAAGGTGCCAGAGCATCCCGCCTGCCTTCCCCACCCCAAGCCCTCTGATGCGTGAGCCTGGCTGACTGGAGACAGGGAAGGAGGCGAGATGTCAATTGGATAGGAGATTGGAGACTTAAACTGGACTAACTTTTAAAAAGAGAAACTGACCAGAAATCTATGTGATCTTTCCCAGATTTAATTAAGGCAAGAGAAAAAGAAAAATGGAATTTGGCAGAGCAAAGTGAAAGCTAGGAGTATTAGTCTGCTAGGGCTGCCGTAACAAAGTACCACAAACTGGGTGACATAAAACAAGAGAAATAAGTTGTCTCACAGTTCCAGAGGCCAGAAATCTGAAATCACTGTGTCAGTAGGGCCATGTTCCCTCTGAAACCCAGAGGAGAGAATTCTTCCTTGCCTCTTCTGGCTGTTGGTGTTTGCCAGAAATCCTTGGTGTTCCTAGGCTTGAAGGCACATCACTCCAGTTCCTGCCTCCATCAGGACAAGGCTGTCTTCATTGTCTTCCTTCCGTGCATTTCCATCTGCCCAAATTTGTATTGTCTTCTGAGGACAGCAATCATGCTGGGTGAAGCCCACTCTAACAAACTCATCTTCATTGGATTACATCTGCAAAGACCATATTTCTCTAAATATGGTCACATTCGCAGCTACCAGAGGCTCGGATTTCTACATATCTTTTTTTTTTTTTTGCAGATACAATTCAATCCATAGCACCGTGACTGGGGTGGAATGTTTCCTGTTTACACCCCACAATATAATCAAAGGTTTGTACCAGCTTGATTAAAATCAGTCATGTTTGCTTCATTGAAGTATGTTACTTTTACTTGTAACAATCTTCCCTTTAATGATGATTAGTTGATCTTTTTACCACTTTAGTTACCTTTGTTGCAAAGGATTTTTTGAGTGCACTAAAGTTTGCATTAGGCTAATTTGCATACCATTTACCAGTTGAATTTTTCACACTCTGATATTAATATTAATATAGCAATTTAGTACAATGTTAAGAGCTGGAGATTAAATTGTCATCATGAAGCAGAGAGCAAAACTGAAGCATATTAAATACCTGGAATTTGGACCTAGAATGTCCAACACTGTCCTAGGAGATTAAATAAATTCCTGATCAAAGGTAAAAGCTTATCCTCTTAGACTATTGGAGATGAATACTAAGCATTCATACTTGTAGCTTCCATAACTGGAAACCTAACTGGGTCCTTTTTTTTATATATTTGGATTTTAATTTTTGTTGATTCTGCAAGAAATTGACAAAATAAATAAAACCCCAGTTTAAAGAACTTTATAAATTGACATGCTATATCTCTCAGATGTCCTGGAAGCAGACTGTGATTTTAAAACTCCAGTCCTCTGGTGGGGCGACATTCAAGCTTAACTAAAGATTTCCCCTTTTGACAGTCTTCAGTAAAGTTCACTAAATTTGAGAATATGTTACTGTTTTTCCTCTTTTTTACAAAAGCCTCCCGCAATGGACATTCCTTTAGTTTTAAAGACTGAGCTCTTCTGTTCTTTCCAGAAGAGCACCCACAAGCTAGACCTAATCCACAGCCCTTTCTAAATTCTAATTCTGAGTCACAAGCATCTGATGGATCATGATGTCTCTGGTTGGTGTTGGGCACCAAACATCCTGAAGCTTGATTAATTGGATACTAAATGGCTGGCTGTCTCTAAGGTCACCTTCATTCTTTTGGAATACATTGCATATGGAATCAATGAGGCATCAAGCTTCTAACCAAACAAATGGCCTGCAAAATTATAGTTGTATCCATGTCATTTTATAAAAGTGAGACAGGCCACTGTTACCCTATTTGTCTTCTTGACAGGTTATAGAGCACAGCTTCAGTTCCCCGTGTCGAATGTCAGTTAGCACAGGTATGTGTCACCAATCAAGGGACTCCAACGGACAGATGGCCGTGCTCACAAAGATTTATATAGAAAGATGTTCATAACAACATTATTTATAATAGCAAAAAATGACAGCGCCTGAATGTCTAGTAATAAATTATGGCCCCTCCATAGGATGGAACAGCCTGAGACCACAGACAAGTATCTTTTGAAAAAGATCTTAAAGGACATACTGGAAAGTGACAAACAGGGCTACAATACTACATATGATTCCAGCTATATAAATTGTGTGTGTATAAATGTCTTTAAAAACAGTGATTGGGAAAACAAACCTCTAGAATATGGAGTTATTTTTATTTTCTTATTTATATTTTTCTGCATTTTCTAGATCTTCTACAACCAGCATGTATTTTCTTTTATAATTGGGCATGAAAGTCATTCTAAAAATTTTCTCTTCTACTTAGGTGAAAAGATAGTTAATTCTGTTTGTATAGACATACTGGTGGCAAACGGGCTTTGGAGTTTGAGCCAGCGCCACGCGTTTGGACTTGCCCATAGGAGGTGGGTGTTGGCTTTCAACTAGACATGTGAGCCTCACACGCATTCATTCATTCATTCGTTCATTCACTCACAAACATTTTCTACTCCTGAGACTTAGGTCAGCAATCATGCAGAGATTTTTGGAGGTACTTACGGTAGACTGGGAAGATTTTAAAGGTGTACTTACACCAGTATTATACAAAATAGAAAGCAATGAGTTAGTACTAAAAAGTTACAGGTACAGATAACATCATGGAATTAAAAAAAACTGGAAAGTTAATAAAATAAAGTCAGGCCTAACTTTTCAAAGTCTGATAACAGTTGGAGACACCGAGTAGCCACTTGAACTTGGACAAACCTCTGAGACTCAGTATCTTCATGTGAAAATAGGGACAATAACAGACAACTCACTGTAGTTTACACACACACACACACACACACATAAAACAACTATTAAAGAGTCCAGAATGAAATGTGTGTTTAACTACTTGGGTGATATTATTATTATTATTATTAAACACCAATGGAAAAGAGTGGCTGAACTTCACCCTTTATTTCTTATCATATGAGTCATTTCTTCTGTTGCCAATCTTGCCATGAAGCCTGATTTACAAAGGAGCCACTGGCTTCCTTAGAGTGCTCAGAAAAGAGAAATGGCTGGAGTATTCAGACTCCATATCTGACTAAGCTCATGATAGGTGCTTGTTCACTGTGCTCATGCAGGCATGACTATGATAATCAACATCAATGATAAAGGTTTTGGTTCTCTTTAGAATGAATCACACTTCATGCCAAATAAATGGAGATGGCCTGGTGTTTGT